TTAAGCTTTACCAAGGACGCTGCCACCGGCTCTCTGCTCTGGCGACTGCACAGACGCCCAAATCTGTTCAAAATGGCTCCAGCCACAGAGTGTACAGTGACAGACAGTGACCGAAGGGACATCAGGGCACGATGCAACCACAGCGAGCGCAATCCACACCTGCAACTTCCACGTAGCCGTTTGCTACCCCTTTCTGAGCCGAGCACAACGGGATCACGGTACGTCATTAGTGTACAGTGCAGTACGCTCTGGCAGCATGAATCAAAGCTGCACAAGCGTGGTGAATGACGGTCACATGGCCTGAGTCAGAGCGAATTTCAAGAGCAGGTGCTGTACAGGTTGAATCGGGTTTAAAGTGGGTCAATGCTGAGTTTAAATCACTTCAAGAGGCTGGACTGAGGCTGCACAGTCTGTGATCACAGACGATATCAAAGGCTTTTTTCATCTCCATCTGGATTCAGATCTACCCTAAAACACAAGTAGTGATACACATGTGCTGCACGCCGTTTTCATTTGGAAAGACGGGAAAAGAATGGGAAATATTCAGGCATACGTTCAACTTTTTTTTTAAAAGATATTCTGCAAAATCAGTGGTTCCCAAAGTGGCTGTCTGGAGTCACGAATCAGTTATTAGATGAGAAAAAGGATGCATCTGTTTAAAAAAAAAAAAAAGGTTTATTTTTTTCCTATTTTTACTCAAAAAAAGCTGTGAACATAGAACATATTCTGCACTCAGGCCTATAGAAATGCTTCTCGATCTATCTGAGAAGAAAATAAATCATGTCCCCATGTTTACTTCAACAGTGTGAACCAACAGACCCCACATTCACAGGTGTGTGTCCAATCAATCCCACTCATCACAGGTGGACTCCCATCAGACTCTATATACGGCTGCATGATAATTAAAGAAAATAAGATGCACCTGAGTGTCACAGCAAAGAGTCTGAATGTTTCATAGGTTTCAGTTCTTCACTTTTGAAAAATTTTGCATTAATTTTTTATCATTATGGATTACTGAATGTGGTTTAATGGGGAAAATAGCAACTCTATTAAATTCAATTATATTTATATTTCATTCTGCAACATAAAGTTATGCAGAAAGTGTAGGAATGCTTTCTGCTCTGTACTCTGCAACGTATATACAATATGACACAGTCCTGCAGTGGACAACACATGGTGTGTTTTTCTTAGTAAACATGCAACATGCTACGTTTATCCAGAACAGCTTTTGCACCACTATATTTAGAAAAGCGTTTTGACTCATCATTCTATAAAAGCTCAAGGAACATTGTATAGTTCTGAAGAAAAACAAAAATAAAGACGGAGTTTAGCTCAAGAGAACAAACTGCAGTGCAGATAGTAACACGACTTTGCTGAACTTAGAAACTGAGGACTAAATTAAAGAAGCAATCTGTTTCAGGTCAGAACACTGTGTGGAACTCTGAAAACAGTGGACAAAAATACAATTTATCAGTAAGAAAAAAAAAGTAACAAAGACATAAAAAAAACAAGGCGCCTTTCAAAACCCACTGAAAAGTCGATTACTCACACACGTCTCACCTCTGCATTGATTATATAAAAAGCTTCAGTCACAAGGCTCTATCTTGTGAAATATCAATCATGAAGTGTCATCGTGCTAAAATACAGCCAGCAACACCAGTCATAGCGGCACAACAGACCACAGCTGTGTTGGAGGTGTGCCCCACACTCAAGATTCCCCTAAAGCATATGACACATAGATCGTCTCCAATCTTCCTGAAGACACCCACTCAAGCTGGTGATATATAGGCATATTACTATAAGGAGAACAAGCCCACCTATGAGACATTTGCATCTGCTAGTAATGTCAACAGGGGATTTCCCACGGTACTCACATCAATCAACACAATCAGAATATAGTTCACAGCAGGACATAGCTGACTCTTAATGCCCTAAATCAGCTAAAAGGAGTCGATCTCAATGTTAAAAATAAAAGAAAAAAAGACAAAAAAAACCTAAATCATGCAGGTCAATTACCCACCAACACACTCATGTGTTTTCCTCTAGGAGTATTGTTAGCTTCTGGCTGTGGCTGCTTGTACTATGGACCACAACACCAGCAAACAAACATGAACATGCATGCTCACTTTGTCTTGTGAAACAACAGCAACACCAGACAACATGCACATAACTTCGCCGCAAACCCCAATGAGTGGGCTGTCCACTCTTTTAGAGAATGCATCATTTTACATTCCAGCAGCATTAACGCCACACACTGTATGTAAACCATGGACGTAGATACCGTGACTGTGGTTCTGGGGCATCGAGTTTGACATTCCGCCGTTGCCATTGGTCTTTTGAAATCGGATGTGACGAGGGAGCAGCTGATCTGACTGAGAACTCGAGGACACTTTGCTTGCCAATATAGTAGCGACTTGTCAAGCACAAAGTCGTCATACGCGGCTTGATCATCTGTTTTCCGCTAATTTACAAAATGAACATGAATGAAAATGGGGCTGGCCCTGAGCATCCGAATATCTGAATATTCGGTTGTTGTGGTGGTATCCGAACATCATTTTTGAGATCTGAATATTCGTCCGCCATGCCCCCGTCGTTGTGGTGTCCGAATATATATTTTCCCACAACCCACCACCTGCCTGCACCCCACCAGGCTTCTTTTAATAACCAGAGGAGTTGCCCCCTGCTGGCTGTTAGAAAGAATGCAGGCAAAAGTCATTTCCACGATGGCTTCACTTCAGACCTCGAGGCTACATCCATCTTTTATATACAGTCTGTGGCTAATGCTAGCTAGCTAACATTTATCACACTTGATGGTGTTGTTGTTCACCAGCCCTTTGGTATAATAAACTTGAATAACTATGCAGTTTCTCAATAACGAACTTCTATATATCTGTGCAATTTAAACACTTAATTAGTTTACACCAAACAACGCACAAAATTCCAATGCAAACCTCCTTTTATGAGTGAAATCCCAAGAGTGCAGTGAGTTCTCCACTGTCGTACTCATCAAAAAGCCAAGACGGTGCCAGTCACGTCCTTCCCACTCACTGTTTGTCCTTTAAATCAGCAGGATGAGCTTGAGATAAATGTAAATAAACATTCTAATGGATAATTCGAAAAGAAAAAGAAAAGAAAAATCATGCACTTCATCTTATTACTCTGGTAGCTCCCACCAGTGTGACTGGGAACACAGTGCTTTGGCAGCGTTTCACCACATAGTAAAAGAAAGAGAAGCTTGGTTTTTTTTTTTTTTTTTTTAAAGCGTCTGTCTAAATAGACATACACAATAAACGTGACAGACTTTCAGCAGTAACATTGTGCATGCCTGATCCTATTGTATTGGCACCAAGAATGAAAAGGAGCAGCTCTTAACTCATAACTCATCCTGACAAGACAAGGATTGTTTCTGCAAGAAGCCACAAGTCAGACGGGGACATCTGCAATACAGAATGGCACTGCAAAAATGTCTGATTGAACACATTTTTATTTAACGTCTGTAATTTTCTGTGATTAATGCCGACTACCAGCACACGTCAAACGATCCAGATCTATGTGTATGTGCTGCTCTACAAGAAAAACTACATTTCACAAAGCACACTGGCTCCTGAGCTCGGTTTCCAAGACTACTACTTCTGAACAGAGATTATCCCTGCAGCATGGGGACCGATCCATCCACAGATAAATATACTGCGCTTCCATACGCTGCACCTGCAGCACCTGAACTCAGCAGGCCACAACATCACATGGTTGTGAAACAAGCAGCTTCTTCTTCTTCTTCTTGCTGCAGAAATCTTACACTCAGTGGAGTCAGCGAGCTGAATGCCAGCTGCTGGCACCGCTCAAAACCCAACGAGGCTGGTTTGCTGAAAATAGGCAAAAGAAAGCAGGGGAAATTACAACTCTGCATCACATTACATAGCCTCCAGTTTCTGCTGTTCTCCCTTTAGTGCCACCTAAAATAAATTCATTACGAGCGGCGAGGCTTGCTGTGTGTCGCATGTTGTAAATTGAGCCTGATTCATTAAGAAAGAAGTGAAGTGGTGGTGTGAGAGAGAAAGTGTTGGGCGCCTAATGGCAGCGGCCGACAATATAATCAATTACACTAATTTTGCAAACAACACGCGGAACAAATGGCTGCGGCTCAGAACTGGCCAGGTTTATGGGCCGAGGGAATAGATGGAGGGATGCCCTTCATTGTTTTAGAAGGAAATAGAGGTGGAGAGAGCATTTAACCCCAATTAGCAAAAAGGAAAGGAGGAACAAACTTTCCTTTACATGAGGAGAAGAGGGAGATAAATCAGCACAGTGCATGTAAACCTGATTAAAATCCAGAGTTGCTGTGTGAAAACTTGTTGAGAAGAGAGTGCAGCGTTATCACAACAAGATGCACACTGGACAGTCTGCATGAACACATCTTCTTAAAGTTAGCAGAGCACTGAGAGAGCCAGTGAATCATGTGAGGTTGTGTCCTTCATCTGACTCCACTGAGCATCAATGGGAGATGCTGCTGCTGCTGCTACTGATGATGATGATGATGATGGGGGGAGAGAGGGGAGAGAGATGGGGGGGGAGGCATGGTAAACAACCGAGCAGAGAGGATCAAAATGCGTCAAGATGCTCTGAAGGCTAAAACCCTCCCGTGTGATGCTAAACACTTGTTTTTCGGCCAGTGACCGCGGATAACCTACTTGTTTAATTAGCTCCGGGTGTCGTTTCTTCATCCCAGTTTACACAAGACTGGATGTGTGTGTTTCTGTTGGTATTAAAAACAGCCGACGCCTCACCTAGACATCCTCTCCACACATACAAAGTGTAGCTAGCTAACAGGCTAAGCACGTTCACCAGACGTCAATAATAGTAACGGGAGAAAACTGAGGAGGAAAGACAGGAAAAAAAAAAAGAAAGAAAAAAAAATCAAAGTAATTCATTCGGCTTTGGAGGCAGGAGCGAAGCTGAATGATGAGTAAAAAAAAAAAAGAAGGGGAAACGGTACCACTTACCAGTTTAGACGCGTCTAATAATCCGCAGCGCTGTATTCCATTGCCGTTACAGTGAAATAATTTGACAGTAATACGGACTGCGCTGCTGTGGTGGCCCTGATGTCGCCGTGCTGCTCGTCGTAGCCGCTGCGTGTGATGGCGTTAGCTCTGCAGGGCCACAATGAACCCGCTGCTGCCTTCACGGCCTGTCCGAAATCTGGCTGACACCACACGACACAACAAACCAACAACGAGGTTTTGGCTACACGGGGTAAACATTTATATGCTTAAAAAGCCACAGAGAGAGATAGAGAGAGGGGGAAAAAGACAGTGTTAGTGTTAATATCACAGCTCTTGAGTGTTGTGTTTACAGTACAAAATTGCGCAAAAAAATCACCACATTTAGCAAGTGTATCTAACGTACAGCCCACATTACGACTACAGTTAGCTAAACATCATCTTAGCTATCTATTTTCAGTAAGTTAAAAAACTATTGCTCTCATTGGTGAACTTTGCCACTGTTGTTTTCTGTTATTGCCACGCTATAATGTTCCGAGAGTCCAAAAATCCAGAGCTTTCCAGGAGCAAGCAAAGGGCGCATAACGGACCCGGTCCTTTGATTGACAGGACGCTTGTCCAATCGGAGGAGAGTGAGGGGTTGAGGGTGGGAAGTGAGTGTAAACAGATTTCTGCGATGAAGATGAAGTTGAGGAGGATTTTATATGAACGTCGCTTCATAACAAATATCTTCAAGCGTTTAAATGCTTAATGACAAGGTAGAAAAAGAAATCAGCATGCCATTTAAAAAAATGTCTAGTTTTCGTAAAAGGTGGATGTTTTACTCCTAAGTAAGTGATAAACAGCTGTATGGGCTGCAGTGTTTGCTACTTGGCGTTCGGGCGCCATCTTGTGTCCACACGTAGAACAGAACCGTGATGCTGAACAGAACTGAGCTACAGTCACAATTCTATTTTTAAATCAATTTTATTTACTTGTTGCAGGCATTATGTTTGTTTCCTAACATTTTACCACACTAAATATATTTCTTCCATGGCTATAGCAGCAATAAAACAGTAGAAAATGTAGTTCATTTGTTGTTGTTGTTTTTTATTTCAATTGTAGAGTACATTACACTGTAAAATGTAAATGTTTTAACAGTTACCTTTTTTTTTTTTGTAAATTTAGTGTTATTTTACAGATTTTCCATTTTTCATTAAATCACAGGAAGCAGGTCAAAACTACAAATAATGTAATAGTTGGTATCCTTCAAAACATTTTATCATAAAATTACAACTTTGTGGTTTGTTTTTTTAAAACTGAATTTAAATCAACAAAAATACAATCGTTTTACAGTTATTTTCCATTATCTGAAAGAAAATCTATTTAAGATTTTTAAACATGGTACATATTTTTTTTTTAAATGTCTAATTTATTTTACAGATTAATCTGTTTTGTTTAATCAAGCTGATAAACAAACAAACAAACAAATAAATAAAACTGTCCAAAACTCTACTTAATATCCACATTATTTAAAAAAAAAAATATATATATATATTTACAAATAGTAATTTTATTTAATTTTTTTACGTGTCCATAAAATGACACAGTTTTACTGTATTGAAATCAGAAGAAGGTCTTACGATAGCATCACTTTCTTAGCTATTTTAAAGGAAACAGACACAGATTTCCTCCTGTGCGCTGGTGATAGCACCAAATACTCTCTCTTCTAAATAAAGATGATGTTCAAATATAGAAATATAAGACATAACTGCATGAGAAATGTTCTGTATGACAATCAGTGTGACAATCATGCATTAGATTGACATGCAGTCAGGACATAGTTTGAGTTTTGAGGCTGCAGAAAGTGCATGAGAGTGAGAAGGATCTGTATTTGTCAGGAAAGTACCCTTCTTAAAGTTTAAAGTTTCTGAAAAACAATCACTTTTTGGACACTTTATTAATTTATCTGTGTGTCGCTTGTGTTTGCAGAACGTTTCACCAGTACAGATGATGGTGTACCTGCAGTGTCAGAACCTGACAGTGGAGGGAGGACAGTGCTGCTCCAGACTCTCTGCTAATCGAAGTGCCAGTTGCTGTCTGATGTCTGCTGGCCGGTCGCTCAGTGATGACAGTCATGCCGCCCTCTGCCAGCTTCCCACAGCTCATAACCTACAGCTGTTCCTGTTTGGCAGGACTGGGTAAGACCCTGACCATGACTCACATGCTTTCATGTAAGTAGCCCTGAAATCATCCCCAACTCAGCATGTAAACTCTGTATCATGTGAGGATGGAATCAGAGTGACTTTATCAATCAATACTGCTTGTACTTGTTGCTTGTTTCCAAATCTTAGCTTTTGTTGTTCCCAAATGTATCTGACTCACAGACCTTTTATCACAACAGACAGAGTTGTAACACTAAAAGCACTAGTTGAATGAATAATGTGAGTGTTGATCCTATTCCAGCAAATAATGCAAATATATGATATGATAGTGATGTTATTAATCATGCTTTTATTTACGCATTTGAGAAAATTCAAAAAGCAGTGATGGTAAAATGTTCCTTTTTCGTTAAGAATTAAATGATCAGGCTCAGAGTCACAGAATGCAGGTCATCCAGGTAATTAGTTCAACCTTGTCCAGCAAATCCTATTCTTATCAAAATTTAACATCCCCATCGCAAGAACACCAATTCTTTGATAAAGGTAAAATATGTGACAAAATATCATTATAAATGAAGCATTGTGGGGCTACAGAGATGACTCAGGCCTATCAGTCATATCCTCTAGATGTAAGGGAACATGATTATTTGGTTTTGAGCACAGAAAAAAAATAGATCCTCATTTTAAGATAATTCTTTTGAGTATAAAAGAAATAACAGAAATGAGTTTAAATACAATGTGGCCTCTAATTAACAACCTTAATAACAGTGATAAAAACAAGTTTGATCTCTGACAACAAGCTAACATGACTTTATAGATAAATCCCGGCATTTAGAGGTTTACCAGACGTTACCACAAATCGCTGCAAGAGGGCACCTGCACTGCATGAATAAGCCCGAACGCAGATTAATTAGAAGCTTTCAGCACAGAAAGAAACATCAAACCATCTCTCATTACTCAAAACAACCTCAATCAAATCTGTATCCAGCATTTACTGGGATTAACTGACTCCAAGCTTACAGTAAGTATGTTAGTGACCCCACAGCAGGTCAGGAACACATTACAGGTGAGGTTACTACTAATCAGAGCACATGCTGTAGCTACATGTGTTTAACAAGTCAAACAATTAAAATGTTCTTAGATCCTCTCAGTGTAGGAAGTCAAAAATACTTCAAAATAGTTCAGTAATTAGTTAGACCTGGTTACAAATCCAAAAACAGTGATGATAATAGTTAAATCTGTGTTTGTCACATAACAGTCAGCTGTGGGAAAGCCTGTTAAATTTTAGCTTCATCTTTTCTTTTCCATCTGGTCATGTCCCATAAGTTTGAAAGCCTCTGGAACAAGAATTCATCGTACACCAGTTCCATTGTTACTAATGTAACTCAAATCATTAACATTTATTTTGGCCACCGTTTTTGTTGTGTTTTGCACCAAAATGTAAAATAAACTCATGAACTAAATAAAGGTTTGTTCTTGATTTCAGCTGACAGTTTCTCAAAAGCAATTTTTCTTTTTTTGTAACCTCATGAAGAACTCACAACTCAAATTCCCTTAACAAACCTTTAATGTACAAATAAAGTCTGTAAAAACACAATATCAACAGCTTGGTTCACAGACTTTGGTTCTGCAAAATCACAGAATGTAAATGTAAAAGTATATCGATGCACATAAGAGTCATGCGAAGCATTGGCATGTTTTTCCGTAGAATTTCAAGTATCTGTCGATGAGCTGCCAGAAAAGCTGTGAATCTCTGCGCACAACAGCAAGCGCCAGCGTTTCATGAGACAATTCCTGCTGCTGTTTATTCATGTAAACTTGAGTGCAGCCTAACATGCTGTACACATCACCTTTTACCACAATTCCACAATGATTCTGTGAAGATGTGGACTGAAACAAGGATCAGAAAGGAGAGATTCACAACATCAAACCAACCGGATGCCTGTAAAATACATTTGCTTTTTGTCAGAAAAGTTGTGACGTTAAATGTACTCCGTGTCACCGGTGTTTGGTGGATATGAACTGGCATTTATGTTTATAAAAGGTACATGACAGATCTATACAGGTATACAACAACACTGATGAGTCAAAACAATAATGAGCACAAACACTAACATCCTGGTTGAGGTCTGGACTCTGTGCAAGTCAAGTTCTGCCACAACAAACTGAGAAAAGCATTTATTTATCGATCAAAAACAAACTATGGAAGCAAACCTGGAACAACACTACTGTCTAAAATTTCATTGGGCATGTTAGCACTAAGAAATCTCTAAATTAAACTGGACCTAGACTAAAGTATACAGAAATAAGTGGATAGAGGTGTTTGTCTTAAATAAAGCTGCAGCTATCAACAAAATGTAGCAAATTTTCACGCAGATCAGCAGTTACCCTCAGCTCTACTGAGCCTTTTCAGTCTGGTTTCTCCCACCAGGTAGCAACTAGCTGAGAAGGAAAGGGAGATATTTAGCTGCTGAACATACAGATGTTTTCCTCATCGGCATGTGGAGAACAGACCTACAGCAAAAGTTACATGAATGTCTGAGACAATGAGTTTGTGGTAATAAACAATCTCATTACAGAACTGCTCTTTGGCTTGTTCTCCATCCTTCTTCGTTATATTTATGTAATCTGAAATCAGGGCACTATGCTGACTATTGTATGTGACTTTTACATTTTATTAAATGTAATTTATAGATTTGTAAAAAAAAAAAACAACTCTTTTACAAAACAGTTTAAAGAGGTGATACAGTGCTAGTGTTGTGTTTATACTGATCTGCTGTCCGAAAGCGACCACAAATTATACATTTTGCAGCCTTAAGGCCTTAAACATACTCTCTTTATAATCCTAGACATTAGACTCGTGTCATTGAAGGTATTGCATACAAAAATGTGTTACCTGAAATGCTTGTGTGACCTCCGTGTGATTTACTGCAGTTATATTTGCGTTTTCTTTCTTTAGGTCTTGCATATCTGTTGTGGCCCAAGTTTCTATCCACATGGGCTTGCTGAGAACTTGTGTTTTACCTCCACGTGGATGTAAAAACAGACTTTGAGTATTGTTCATTCTTAATATAACACTGAGTTTTGTTTCACCATCAAAAAATTATAAGTTGAGAATAACACACTGGAACAAAAGCAAAGCTGGCGTATAAAAGTACAAAGTAAAAGCAGTAAAAAAAAAATAAAAAATCAAAATCAAAATCAAAAGAGTAAAAATACTTACACACAAACTGCTATTTATGTGTTCAGAATCAGGGTAGCTTGAAGGAAGAACAAAGAACAAAGTCTAACTGTGACTTCCACTGGAAGCAAAGACTTTTGTCTTTTGGAAAAGTCCTAAAAAGATCCTGAGTGCCTCGTGGGACGTGGCAGTTCATCATGGTTCTGTGGTCAGGTTTAGTCCTTCCTGTTGATGCTGACGTTCCAAGCGTTAGAAGAGTCATTAAGGACCGGCTTCACACCACCATCCTCCTCACTGATAAAGAAAAAAGATAGAAATAGTTTTTAAACGACAACAGCAGTGACTCTTCATCCATTTTACTTCATTTAAGACAAGTAAAGAAATCAGATCATTCTGCAACCAATCCTGCTGAAGTCTGAGGGGCTATTTAGTAAACGTGTTGCGAATTAGGGGCTGCAAGGTGGCTCTGTGGTTAGCATCGTTGCCTCGCAGCAAGAAGGTTGCCGGTTTGCATCCCAGTGGGGGCACCGGGATCTTTCTGCGTGGAGTTTGCATGTTCTCCCCGTGCAGTGTGGGTTCTCTCCGGGTTCTCCGGCTTCCTCCCACACAGTCCAAAAACATGTTAAGGTTAATCGGTGATTCTAAATTGTCCGTAGGTGTGAATGTGAGTGTGCTTGGTTGTCTGTCTCTAAGTGTAGCCCTGTGATAGACTGGTGACCTGTCCAGGGTGTCTCCTGCCTTCACCCTAAGTCAGCTGGGATAGACTCCAGCCCCCCCGTGACCCTTGTGAGGATGAAGCGGTGTATAGATGATGGATGGATGGATGGATGGATGGATGTATGTATGTTGCGAATTACCATCCGAGGGGCAACTTTTTAAAGTTTCAATATTCTATCTCCTTGAACCTGATGCCCAGCCTGTCTGTAAAGTTGGCACTGTTCGATTATTATTAGTAATCAATGAGCTTGATTACCATTTTTTGGAAATGATATATATTTGCAGTAAAAAATAAAAATCTTGGTGTTAAATTTACACAAATTCCAACATAAAATTTGTTAAAATGCCATTTTTAAAAAAATGTTTTAATTGAAAGAAAATGTTTGAACATTCATCCTTCAGTGTTAACAGGCTGCTACCAGTGACCAGGAGCCAATCAGACAGCTTCTCCATTTCAGCTTGCGTTTGGTTTATACATGTCCAAGACCACACTGGTAATTAAGCATATAGATTACAAGCGTGGTCATAATTTATAAACTCTTTGATCTCATATTTCTTTTTGTTATGAATGAAAGCCAGCAGGTCGTTATTATGATAACTAATATGTTTGCCCTCTTCATAGAAGCTTGCGGCAAACTTGAGTTGCATTTCAAACCCTCCCTGTTCTTCTGTGATGTTTTTAGTCTCTCCAGAGATGTTATTGTATTCTAATACAAAAGAGATTCTATTTTCTGCTGTTTTCTGGGGCAGGTGTAGTAAACTGCTCTCTCTGGAGAGTTCTGAGATTACCGACTGCTTCATTAAAGGTTTTGTTAACAAAACCTCGCACTCTGAAGCGCATTCGCATGTGTTTGGCCTTAGACCTAAAGTCTGACTCTTTAATTCAACCTAATTTTAATGGCCCTGGTTCACACCGCAGTAACGTTCCCCTGGGAATAAGAACCTTTTGAGGACTCAGTTCTTCTACTCTTGTTTCCATCAGACTAACCAGGGTTTAAATCAAGTTCCAGGAAGATTGGTTAACCCCCAATGAAGGCTGGACTCGGGGCGGTTGTCACTGATCTGTCAAGTACTCTATCGTTGTCCTCAGCGTTTTCTAACCACCATTTTTAAAAACCTGAAACTGCAAAGACATTTACTTTCTTTTGTGCTAGAGAAGAAAACGAGGGATAGTAATGATTAATTGTTAGCATTAATAATTAAAGTGATTGAAAATACACTGGCTGGTCAAAAAAAAAAACCTCACATGCTCTAATATTTCGTTGGACTGCCTTTAGCGTTGATTACCGCACGCATTCTCTGTGGCATCATTTCAATAAGCTTTTGCAATGTTACATTTATTCTGTCCAGCGTTGCATTAATTTTTCGCCAAGATCTCGTGTTGATGATGGGAGAGTTGGATCACTGCGCAAAGTCTTCTCCAACACATCCCAAAGATTCTCCATGGGGTTACAGTCTGGAATCTGTGGTGGCCAAATCATGTGTGAAATTGATTGAAATTAATGTTTTTTTTTCAACAATTTCATTTCACCAAACGTTTAGGTGGTCGCTGATCATGAGCATTCAAGATTTTTTCCCAACCACATTTCTTCCTCAAAGATGATGGTTCCCCACTATTCTTCCAGTTTTTAATAATGCGTTGGACAGTTCTTAACCCAATTTGAGTAGTTTCAGCAACCTCCATAGATGTTTTCTTTGCTTGATGTATGCCAATAATTTGACCCTTTGGAAACAGAATAACATCTTTTCCACAACCACAGGATGTCTTCTGACATGGTTGTTTAAGAAATGAGAAGCTACTTACTGCATCAGTTAGAGTTATATAACTTGTTACCAGCTGAAACAGAATCACTCATGTATTAATTATCCAATAGGAGGCTTTACCTGTTTGCTTAGTTAAATCCAGGTGGTGACTTTTTTTTTTTGGCCAGGCAGCGTATATTAACCAATAAGGCAGAAGATACGGGATATGCATGTCAGAAAATGTAAATTAGGTATAATGCCTGGTTTTGCCACCAGGTGGAGCCTTTTACTGTTTAACTCAGAGATCTCCAACTCCGATCCTCGTGAGCTGCTGTCCTGCAGGTTTTAGACGTTTCCGTACTGCAACACACTGACTCAAATTAATGGATCTCCAACAGCTTGTTGTCAAGTTCTACACAAGTCTGTTAATGATCCATTAATCTGAGTCAGGTGTGTTGCAGTATGGAAATGCCTAAAACCTGCAGGACAGCAGCTCACGCGGACCGGAGTTGGAGATCCCTGGTTTAACCATTTAATACGGCAGTGACTTGAGGAGGTGGTCAGTCAGACTACAGACAGTCCAATGTTTGCAAGAAGAGAGCATTGGGAGGGTTTCGCTAACAAAGGGCCACCACGACAAAGACTTCTGTGTTGGTTAACGGCTGCTGGCCAGAGCTTACCTATTAAAGATGAGCCCAGATCTGCTCGGGCAGCATTCTTACAGCTGAGTGTGTGATATAATGATGCCTCCTATGCAACTAATGCCATGTGGTGGTGGTTAAAAGTAACTCTGTCAGCATATGGAATAATGTCCACTATAAATCATTTATGTTAATGAATAATCAAGTACTGATTGGTAACACTGCCAACCATTTGCATCCCTTAGAAAATTCTTCTTATAGATTCATGAAAAGCAAAGTCTCAGCCTTGTTGAGCTCTAACGATGAGAAAGACTTTCTGCAGGATTCCGAGAGCAGGGTCTACCTTCAAATTTTGTTAAAGTCATTGTTTTCTATTGTCATAAACATTTGCTACTGTTTGAAGCTTGACACACTTCATCTTCGTGAGACTTTAGATGAAGGTGGAAATGCAGACAATAAAGGAAAACTCTGGACATCAGACCCTGCAACTAAAAGTTCTGGTGGCTAATGCTGGTAATTCAGTTTCTTTAAGAATGATCAACATGCTGGTTGTTAGACACTGCAGATTAGTACTGTTGTCAAATATGAACTAATTAACAGCAGTTTAAGAAACACTGTATTGTCATTGGTGCTATTTGTTAACATCTATATTGCTGATGCTCCTTTCATGCACCTATGAACAGAAATTCCTCAAAATGCAACCAACTGAAACTCAGTGTTCTTCATTTTACTGGTGCAAAACATTGGTGCAGTCCTCCAGTAAATGCCAAGTCTTCAGTAAATATCCCCCGTCAGCAGATGTGGTTTATGACAGAACAATTCTGCCCAGTCTTTATCTACAACAAGACACGCTGTGGACGTTCAAACCTGAGGTTGGAGCCCTCCACATCTTCAATGGTGTCAGGCAGCGGCTTGTTGGCCGTCTCAGGCAGCAGCAGGGTGAGAGCGGAGCCCAGCAGTGGGCAGAGGCCACACAGAATCATGGGAGCATGAGGACTGATGGCCCTCAGGAGGTACATCATGGGAGCCAGGACACCACCGGTCCGGGCGCACATGGAGCCGATGCCAATCCCATTTTGTCTGTAAATTAGAGTGATTAAAAGACAAAGGCTCCAGTTACAGTTGGTAATAAAATATAATCTGCACCTGCTACTATCTGTAGCTTTTTCAGGCAGGAAGAAGTGAAGTTAAGTAGTTTTCAACTTGTAAAGCAGATGTTGGTTGCGAAAGCGGTCACGCTGTATGGATTGTATTTACCGCTGACACATACAATGTGTGCCGACCACCTCCAAATGTGCGATCGCATTCCGATCTCAGTGTGTTCAGTCTGGATTCACATCTGCACTACCATGTGTTTCCCTTTATGCAGTAAGTTATCTGGATTCAGATAAGTTATCGTAGCCTAAAGCTGCATCATTACTGATTCTACATAGTCCATAATTTTGTTGCCATGTCTCTAGATAACCACAGAGATATCAGAGAAATCTTCTACTTTTATTGATCTTTCTCAGCAACAGATAGGAACGGCAACAAGATCAATAGGACACGTATCCTGCCTTCATATGATGGGATTTAAAAATGCATCTTTTCACATTAATGTTCCAGCCCAGAAGTCAAGTGAACAAATAATAAACCACAATGACATATGCTCTTATTGTGCAATTAAAAGAATGTTTCATCAAATAATTATTTTCATAAAACGCTGACACATAATATAAAACAGTATATACACATAGAAATGAAACAGTCTCTTGATTTATTTGTTGGCGACACTAAATTGATCGCAAACTATTTTGATCTTCAAGTCAAAACTCAAGATGAAAGAGTTTGTAAAAACCATAGAAAAATAGAAAAAGTCATGTCATAAATAATAAGGAGGTAGTGATTGTGTAGTATACTTTGTGCACTATGTGTGTTGTACTGTTACGCATGAGTGTGTGGGTGCATGTGTGTGTGCATACTCCTACATGTTACATACATATTTACATGATCCAGTGTGCTGTATCATCATTTATGCGAGTCACTGTTTATGCAAAATTTTAAAAAATCTAAATAACCTGGAAATACCTTGTTACTGCTGCTGTGTGAGGGTGTTACTTTTCTTTGTCTTATCTGATAGCAAACTGACAACTTAGTGTTTCATCTGACAATTAATAGGTTTCTTGTGACATTTGAAATTGTATAGCAGCTGCATTTGCAACAAAAAATAATTTTGGGCATGATTTTTAGTAAAAATGTAACACCATGTGGCCATCTTGTGCCACTTGTTTATGTCATTTGCAGCCAGAAGAAATCGATTGGACAAACAAAACACACAAATAAAATTTCACATGAGTATGAATAATTTTGGGCTTATCTGTACACAGACTTGTGTATAAACTTGCTTTATGTAACAGCTACATAGTAGCTTAAATTAATGTTTCTTTCATTGTGTTAAAGTATAGTAAGTTACTGAGAGCTGCTCACTTGTTGTACTTAACACCGTTAATTGCGTTAAAGTGGATATCATTGCATTTTTCATCCAGCCTGGAACTACACGTTTTAAGGCTCAGTGTCTTTTTCCATTAGGTTTATTTTACTTTTAGCAATATATTTTGACTTCTCAACTCATTTTCTAACTAGTTTTCATGCAGCAGGTGGTGCTCAGCTGTCACTGCTGACTCTGCTGAGGGAGCCGGGTCCTGTGTCACCAGATGATTACATTTGCCAAACACCGTTTTCCAATTCTATTCATGTGAATGTGTGTCCTCTGCACACAAACATATACATATATATAATTTCAAAAAATGTAATAACTGCCCCAGTCTGGGAATCACTGGTGTACATACTGTGGGGGGAAAATACTGGATTAGGATCATGCTGTACTTAAACATAAAGTGCAGTCATAATTTCAGTATTGCCATCAGATAAATTGAAATTATTTGGATCAAACATGCACATAAAGTACGTTGTTTTTAGAAAAACCACACACCTCAAAATGTGATGTACATAGTTTGTAGTACTACTGTGCTCTGACCTCAGATGTTTCAGCATCTGGTTTCTATATGCTGCTCTGGAAAACAGTGTAATATATCAGACACAAATGCCAAATATATTTTTCCATACTTAAAGTTCTCACTGTCTCATGATGCAGATGGATATAAGGAGACTTGTTTTAATTAAAGTCTTCTGAATGGGGATAATTTGATGTTATTTACATCTTTGGCACATATAAATGATTTAACTACTTGGACTAAAACAAAATTCCATGAGGTTTGTATTTTATGTCCCTGTAGGATAAGACAAACAGATTTTCAAAAGAAACCCTTATAGAACTTTGGCAGGAGGCTGGTAGAGGATTGCAAAAACAGACTGCTCGACTTTAAGACTTGTACATAACTCAAAGATGCTGCAAGTCTTCAGAATAACAGCTTGTGTTTTCTCTGTCATGAGATGACATTTGATCAAAAAACATCATAAATGTTATTATAAAGTATTCTGACTAGCACTGCACATTAGGGTCTATATTTTAACAGATTAGTAAGAATGACACTACAGCAAGCTTTGAAGAATCAACTTGAGATTTCTTCAGTCTGAAAATGCTGAAATGATATAAATATAAAAAACACAAAAGTCATAAAATGTTTTTTTTAATTTTTTTTGTTGACTGAAACAAACAAAAATCTAATTACAAGAATTAGACTAAAACTAATGTAGCTTTCTATCAAAAGACTAAAAGTAAAACCAAATCCCTACGGTGGTGTACTGTTGTATTGTTTGATCTGCTCTTATCTGTTTTTAATCTCTCTAAAGCCCTTAACGAGCCATGTTTCAGATACGAGCTGCCTTGGACTTGACTTGACTTCACTTAGCGTTCTACATGATAATCAAACGAATGCAACAGTAATAGAAAATCACTCCAGACACAAGTTGGCAAAGTGTTATCTCTGATTCATAAAGCTGGTTGTACAACTAACGGTAAACAACAGACAGCCGACTGCCTCGAGTCAAATGGCTTTTTTGGCATCGCTGTTCAATAAAAAAACACGAATACAGCAGGCTGTCTTTCAAAATGAACCCCACACAGAGTTATAAAATACTGAAAAGAGCCTGTTCCAGGGTCAGTCAAGGTTCATGTAATTCTTTGTAGTTCTTTATTTGGGTCACACCATTAAAATAAGTCAAATAGGAAATGTTTTTGATTAATTCTCAAACAGATAATTGTCTGTTTTTTTTTTATTGTTTACATTAGGGTTGTTGCTTCAGAGTTCCATTTTTTAACAAGTACTCACATTTTTATTTTATTTTTTCCCATTTCTGTGTTTTGTGCTTGTAGTTGAACTGCACCACAGTGTAGCTTGAAGACTGCTCTAAACATCAAATCCATATTATTTTGTCTCGATATATAATGTAAGCAAATTGTGAGATTGACACCCGGGATCTTTCTGCGTGGAGTTTGCATGTTCTCCCCGTGCAGTGTGGGTTCTCTCTGGGTTCTCCGGCTTCCTCCCACACAGTCCAAAAACATGTTGAGTGTGCTTGGTTGTCTGTCTCTAAGTGTAGCCCTGTGATAGACTGGCGACCTGTCCAGGGTGTCCCCTGTCTTTGCCCTAAGTCTGCTGGGATAGGCTCCAGCCCCCCGCAACCCTAGGAGTGAGGATTAAGCGTTGTATAGATAATGGATGGATGGATAACTCTAACCTTTAATATCTAATGGCAGAGTAGCGAGCTAACTCAGGCTAGCTAGCAGAGATTTGTGCTGAGGTTGCACTGTTAAAAGGCAGTGCTACAGACTGCGCTGATACAAAATCAAACATCATTTGCACTTTGTGGATCCATTATAGAGTCTGCTGGTGTTCATCATCAGCCAGCTACAGCACTGTGTGTTAATGTGTGATCCAGTATGCTTACTGAATTAGTTACACTGTAACAGATGGACTGTAATATAAATTGTAACCAAAGATCCAGTCTGCTGTTGGACTGATAATGAAATGAACAAGGCTGGAGAATTTACACACATCAAATTTAATTGCTGTGGTCAAACAATTGTCATGTGACAGCTCTTTCAGATCCCTTTTTTTTCTTTTGCTTTCACGAGACTTAACTGGACGAAAAGAAGGTGTGTACTGATGTCCTCAGCATTCTTTAACTTGTACCAAACTCAGCCCCTCATTCATTCGTCTAACAGTAAAAAAAAAAGAAGCAACTCTCGGTTTGCAGAAGTGAAAAAGCTGTGGATCATGAGTCTTCACTGGAGAACCTATTAGATAGTGTAAAATCAAAAGTGCTGCTTTTTTTGTTGTTGTGGAAGTGAGGAATGATCAATTCTTGACATGATGTAGGCTACTGTGAATTAGTGCATTAATTTATTTCCGAAATTGGTACTGCAGGCCCACAAATAATTCACACCTACTTCTTATATGCAGACAAACCCACAGAATAACCAGCCTACCAATCAAACAACACTTGATATTGGGCACTTTAACTAAATTTTCAGTTTTTTCAAATCTTCATAAAGAGAAACTGAAGTGCTAAAGGTTTCCCACATCAATTAGGAACACAAGCCAGAACAGGTTTGGTTGTAGCCAAAGCTGGCTGAGGAACATTTTTGTCATGAACACGTAACACTTACCTGATAACGGTGGGGAACACCTCAGCTGAGTAGACATAAATAATGGACAGAGAGGCAGTGATCCCGAACTTCCCAATCATGGCCAGGATGGTTCTGAGGGTAGACAAGTCTACAAGAAATATCGATAAGAGGTGAGGGAACAGGTTTTGTAAAACTATGGAAGCATTGAACATAGAAACCACAACTACATGTTTAGACAGGATAGAGCCTACTGTTCATTCCTGTTTGTACAGTCTATGAAGATATCGAGAACACGAGGTTCTGTTGAATATGAGCACGCGAGTTCTTACCGTTGGGGATGAAGATGGTCAACAGGCAGGCGGTGCCGCCAACTGCAAGGAAAGCCAGCTGGGAGATCTTGCGGGATCGGTTGAGGGTGAACAGGGTAATGGTGCGTGCAGGCATCTCCACCAGACCAAAGATCAGCTGGGTCAGGTAGATGTTCATTCCAAAGTCAGAAATATTGAGGGAGAGGCCGTAGTACACAAGGACATTGACGAACCTGAGACACATGGGGAACAAAGAATGTTTATTGCCTCGTGTGACCCTGGTACGACTACTTGACCCTACAGTTGTGTGTGAATCCTTGTTTTAAAGTTACAACGTGGAGACTTTAAAAAGATTAGAACACCTTTCAACTGATTCTGAAGACAAACATTTTTGCATGAATAACTAAAACAACCAAAGTTAAAAAGTAAAATAAAAATGAAACCATTCCATTGCTGTTTGTTAGTGTGATTTCTGGTACTACCAAAGGATGGCAGCAAAGTTTTCAAACCACTATACATAGTGGCTTTAATAAGCCTACTTGGCCCTACAAACTGTTGAGTGTGAAAAAAGAAATACACATTATATCACAAACTTATACAGGCTATTGAAAGGGTTTTTTTTTTATGCCAAAAGTTTTGTAGAATTTGTCTTATGCAGAAATTTAATCTGGGGCACAAAAAAATGTGCTGTCATAGGGAAATGTTATTTTTGCCAATTAAGCTTTTAGCCATTTCCTATATTTGGTTTTGGCTTTACTTTACTATCGAACTTCCCAAATGAAACTGTCTGGCATTTGAAAAGAGGAACATTGAAATCATGCTCGAAGATTAATAAAGAATATTTTAAAAAACAACACACATTTGTGGTTTGTTTTAAAGCACGTGGTACAAAGAGACACACAGGAACTGAAAATCCAAGGAATACAATAATAACAACCTCTGACTTTGCCTTCTTCCATAAACAAGTTTGTGGCTTATTGGCAATATGGAAGATGCAAGTGGCAGCATGCTTAAACCACAGTAAGATGGTATATATGCTAATCATTACCTTCTAAACCAGTTAATCTGCTCCCCACGATCACTTTCCATTTACTTTATCACAACTGCTGAAGATTGCAACCAAACTTTGAACATCAAAGATGATGCATTCACATCTAGTGATCTTATTGTGAATCTTTACAAGCTCAGGTGCATTCAGTGTGTATAAAATTATATAACCTTTAAGATTGTTTAAGTACCTTACAACATCAAATCACAGTCGAGACAGTGCCTATAAAAAGCATTTGCTTCCCACAGAAATCTCCCCCTTTTAAAACTTTTCAGCACTGAATAATGGACAGTTTAATTTAAGCTTTTTGGACAAGACTTTACAAAAAAGACTCATTAATGTCAAAGTGAAAACAGATTTCTACAAAGTAATGTCAATAATTAAAATATAAAATGTAAAACAAGTGGTTGCATAAGTATTTACCCCCCTTCAAGTCTGTATTTACTAGATGCACCTTTGGTCGTAATAACAGCAGTGAGTCTGTGTGGAGAGGTCTTTGGCCTTACAAATCTGTACGCTGCGTTTTTACCACATCGTTCGAAAAAAAGAAAAAAAAAACTCTTGCTACAAGTCACAGTCTCAAGCTGTCCTCCAGGATTTCCAAAACTTTGCTGCTTTTATTTTACCCTCTACCTTTACAAACTTTTCAGGGCCTGTTCAGAAGAAGCATCCCCACCATAATGCTGCCACCACCATGCTTCATAGTTGGAATGGTGTGTTTGTGATGATGTGCAGTCGGACAAATGTAGTGTCTAGTCTGATGGCCACAAAGCTATATTTTGGTCTCATCAGACAGAAAATCCTTCTTCCAGCTGACTTCAGAGTCTTTCACATGCCTTCTGACCAACTTTATCAAGATGTTTTCAACAGTGGTCCTGGTTTTGCCGAACTCCCATTAAGCCTTGACTTGCAAAGAACAGTATTTACAGTCTCTCCCATCTCACCCTTAACTGGTCTCTGTCTTGCACTCTCACTCAGTTTTTGAGAACGGCCTACTTTAGATAGATTTATGTGTGTGCAATATTCCTTCTATTTCCTAATGATGCATTTATTTCACTCAGAGGGATATTCAGTGAGACTTGCTTGTAAGGACGTTGGCTTTAATGAAATGAAAGTAGCAATACCCGATTTTGCGCTGTTACAAGTTAAACCGCATTCCACAGTGGCATTGTGGTAATGGCGCTGTTTTTCAGAATCAAACCGGGTTTTAGCAGTGATGCTCTTTTATTGATCAAGTGGTGCAGCAGTGTCTACACAAGCTACATGTTCCTGGACATTTCTAAAGCAAGAAGCACAGCAGAGCTTCCATTAGTCTGTGATATTAAGAATGAGACTATGCCCTCATCTGTGGACATGCAGCATAGCTAGCAGAAGCGCTTATGTACGACCTTGATGTTACACACCAGTCCTTACTGCAAACATCAGCTAGCAGCTTCTCAATAATGAACGACTAGTTAGTTACATGTTTTTCATTATCTGTAGGCAGTAAGTGAATCAAATAATTAATGGGATTCTGATGTAGTAAACTGCTTTGTGATGTTGGTGTAGCTTAGCTCATGACATTCTCAACAGGCAGCTTCGGTTTAGTGAAGTTTCATTTAATGTAGAGTAAGTAGTAGCTTAGCTCGCTCCGCTTTCAATGTAGGTTGGCGAATGCTGCCTATAACAGACTGTACAAATGCCCAAAGTAAGAGGTATTAACAGAAAAACACTCAAGAAAAAGTCCTTGCTTGTTGAGCTTTTCATGAGCAGGGGGACATGACAACATGCAGTAAATTTTTAAAAAATTGGAATAGAAAAGCAATGATCCAGATTGTGAGGAATGTAGAGGGGCAACAAAACTCTTGCCCTTCTGTTTTATACAGGAACCAGGAGAAGTGCCGCTGTTTGGTTTGTCACTGTTAAACACTAAAAAAAAAGAGGTCGCAGCCACAAGTAAACTGCTGCTTACTGCAGTGCAACAGTACAATTCAAAGTCAGCAGTAGTTTTTCCATCTTCATTCCTTCTTATGTCAGTGGTTATAGATGAATTATGCTGTGAACTGGTTATTGCTTTACGCGGTGGCTACTAATCATGGCTTGGCATCTTTCACAAACTGGGTGATATCACTGAGGAGGAGATGACAGGGACCCACTACCAGAAACACGAATGGCATCCGAAGCAGTGTTGTGATACCGGCACCGCAAGAATTTATGACTCTAGTTGATATTCAGTGCATCAGTGTTGGGCTGTGTCGACACTAAGCCAGTTCAATCTTAAAATGCTGCTGACATAGAAGAATTTAAGTTCATAATCATGTTTTCAACTCATCTGGACCCAGTATCCGGCACAACTGAATGCAATTCGATCAGACATCTAAACTAAAAATTAATTCTTAAAGAAATTCATCATTAGTTTGAAGTGGCACTGTGGGGCACCTAATTTGGCTCAAAGATTTATTATTAAGTTCAGAGTTAACTGTCGATGCTGTATTGGACTACATCTTATTAAGGAGCATTTCATTGATTTATTTCTTTTATCCTCCCATTTGAAGGACAGCGCTTTTAAGAGAAGCCAAACTGTCCAGTTTGCTGTTCTCACTGACATATTTTACAGCTACTAGACAATCAGACCAACTGATACATGCTCATCAAAAAGAACATCAAGTTCTTTGCTGCTACGCTGACCCACCAATTACATCCTTATTTCAAGGTTTTAACCTTATCTGTCACAATAAACACAACGGCAACATTGTACAGTGACTTTTATAGACATGTTATCACTATGTTTGGACACCATGTGCAGACAGAAGGCTTTTTATACTGAAGACACTGTGGTAGACATTTTGGAAAAGCTCACTTTATGGAAGGGTAAAAAACATTGTTTAATTTGGGGAGAAGGCCAAAATATAGATATGACAATATGCTTTCACTTGTATGACCGTGCAGACTTGATCATTCTACTACTGAGTCTGATGAAATCTGACAGAAAAAAACAGAGAAAGGGAGACTTCTGCTAATACTCACCAGAGATAAAAAACAATCAGAGACTGCTTCCTCATTTTTGGAGTTCGAACAAGGTCGAAGAACGAGTGTTTCTTCTTCAGCCCAGTTTTCTCTTCAGTTTTGTAAACCTGGTGAAATATGAGTACAACCGTGAGTAACAGGCGCTGCAGTCACGATTACACAGTGAGTGTTAAAGTAGTTTGCATGTTCAAATGATAGCAAGATAAAACATTCATGCAAAGTACAAGCAGTCATCACTTTAGTATCAGAATAGCACAGTGAGTACTTTTACTGCTACTAAAGTCATGGTTGTGATGCTTGAATGTCTTGTTTCCAGTGCTCAAACTTAACCTGAAAATGTTAGCATGCTCAGCTAACTAGTTTATTGCCTACAGCAAAGCAATGTCTGTGCAGAAGGAGTAGCATGAACGGCTCAATAGCAGAGCTGTGATGCACTTCAAACACAGAAAAAAAAAGACTTGAAGCGTAAAAATACACTTTGAGTTGAGTGTTCGTGTGTAAAAAGGAATCTGGCGGCTGATTTATGTGTTTTCATTGCTTGACTTGAATACATTTCCAGTGATGGTGAAAGCAGACCACGGCCCAGCCCCTCTAACAGATGTAGGTCATCTGTGTGAATGTGGAAATTATTCAGTGGAAAAGTGTTTGTCTGTTATGGGTTCTGACTTTGTGGGAAAATAACAAGAACGTAAGTTCTGAGTGACTGCCACAGTCTGGACCAAGTGCTGTGTTGGAACGTTTGAACAAATTACCTGCTAGTTGTGTAAATAATCAAACTTGCATGGTAGTCAGAAGAAAAAATGCATTATTTATTTATTTTTTTTAAAAGGGAAGCATCTGATTATGTGAAAGTGGAATTTGGGCCACAAAACAAAACAGCAAGCTGGTTCTTATCAAGCTCAGAATGCCATCAAGACATGAGGATTTACTGCAGACTTACTGAAGTCAGATATATTTCATGGAGCAGGGGCTTGTGGTTTTTTTACTTTCTGTTTTTTTCCCCCAAAACTCAATTTCCTTGCTGGAGCAGCTTACCGAAGCACAGAACAAAACACACATCTGATCTCTTTGAAACATCACTGGATTCTGTGTGAGAGTTTCTGTACAGTAAAATGCCTATTTAAATGGCAAATGATGACTATATTTTCAACATATGGCTGCTTTTACAGGCTCTCCTGGACAAATTTCTTGTCAAAGAGATCCTTGTATTTTATTGTGTTACATGCAGGGTTACTTGAGGTGCCTCTGCAGTAATGGAAGTTATGCCTATTTTACACTACAGCCTGAACCTTTGTAGACCACCAGACGTGTGAGAGGACTAAAAATGCACCTCAAATACAATAGATTTTTTTTTTTAGATACCCTGGTATTTTAAAGACCAAAGAGCACACACTAACTACTGCTACCCCTCCTAAGTACACTAGTTCACTGGGTTAAAGACTGTGTAAAACACAAAACCCTGTTCATGACAGAACATTTACTGTGTGTAAGAAAGGCAGTCCTGATTGCTCTTTAAGTTTAGGGTTCTGTTAGTGGCTTCGTCCTGCTTTTTTAATCAATTCAGAGCACTTTATGCTTCAAACAAGGGGCAACACACATAGGCAGTTTATGATGTATACCAAAACACCCACTGTATTCTATGTATGTCTGCACAGCGGCAATGTACTGACGTATTTGGCCTATTTTATCAACATCAGCCCTCAAGAAAAGGAGCATTCATTCCTCCATCACCGTCAGCACACCATCACTGCTGCCCTACAATGCAACATCTTCTGCAGTTTTGTAACAACAGCACGACAATTTTCCATATCTGAAATTACAGTAAAGCCTGTGTACTTACTCTGCTTATAGTGTTGAAATGCAGTAAACAAAAAATAATACAAAAGCATACATTGTTTATGAAATGAAGCAGTGTGGTTCACGGCAGCAAATATGTTGTCAGTTGTTTTGCTGCTGTGTCCCCTCCACTTGAACGCTAAGCTAAAGTGTGCTCATAAACTTGTGTTGACATTCCTACAGACTCTAAACTTATGTTTTAAAGGATAAAAATCTATCATTTAGCCAAGATTGTATGAGAAGTCCTTAACCCTTTCCACCCTGGACGTCCCTCCACCAGGACCAAGTCGTATCTGTTGATAAAATGCAACCCTATGCCACGCTGACAAGGTTTCAGAACATGGTACATGGACTGAAGATACAGTATAACTGTAACTACAACTGATGCAGTATTATTGCGCTTCATTTTTGTTGCATCACTTTTGGTAAAGTTGCAGATGAGGAACAACAGGTCTTTTCCTGACTGAATTTTGAGGCTGTTTTTTAGAAGGTCATTTAAAAACACAGCCCTGGATGCCTTCAGGGGTTGAAAGAAAAATGAGATTTTAGTTCCATGACAGCTGTGAACTTTCAAATGACTCATGATTGATTAAAAGTTCAAGCACAAAGTTAACTAGATCTTAGGTTCCACTTCTTAGTCAATAAAATGATAAGAAAGGAAAGGAAATTTATTCGCTATCCTACTTTTTTTTTTTTTTTTAATTCGTAAGAATTTCTAGAAAAAATGTGATAAATAAAGGCGGTTGGAGCTTAGTGGCCGGCTGATTTCACAGCGTTTATTTGGAGTGTTTAGGGGTTTTTGTTATTATTGTTAACATTTTGTCGCTTAAATAAACATCTGTTGACTGGTAAATTATGAAACACCCACTACCTGGCACATCTCAAGGTCTTTAGTGAGGGGCTTCCCGTTCATCTGTGCTGCCTTCCGGATCAGTTCCCAAGCTTCTTCTGTCCTGTCATTGGCCATTAGCCAGCGAGCTGACTTTGGCAACACCCTAAAGAAAATGTAAAAACAAACTGTTCAAGTCACAACATCTACTTGGCCCTTTGTGCTTCATTGTGGAACACTGAATTGCAGCTGTTATTTCTGCTATAAGTTATATTTGACAGTTAAAAATGAGTATCATGTGGGAGCTCTGTCGCAAGAGGCAAGCAAGTTGCCCTCAAAGTAGGTCAGTGGAGTTTCCTGGAGCACTACACTACAAGAATGAGAGGAATTTGGCACAAACCATATATGACAGCATACACTGCAGATTTTGTTTCAAACAGAGTGAATGAATTTCTTCAACCGCAGAGTTTTGCAAGCCCAACACAAGCACGCTGTTTTGGATTTTATTTATTTATTTTAAATGATACTGTTCAAGTCATTTTTTTAAACTTTAATGAACTTTTTTTTCTAGAAATTCTGTACACTCTGCATCAGGCTGCAGCCTACTTACCAGATGTAGAAGATGAACAGGAAGCCAGGTGCTGATATAGCCAGCTGTAGTTTGCGCCAGTCTCTTATGAGGTAAGCCACACCGGCCAGAAGAATGTAGCCAAAGCCAAAGAAGTAGTCGGTGATTATACCAGCCAGCATCCGCTCCTTTGATCCCGTCCATTCTGTGCCTGTGTGGCAGGGACACATGAATACACAGAACAATGACTAAAACACATGTAAGCATATATCAAGGCTTCAGATTACAATATGATGTCGTGTTTTTACCAACAATAACATTTGACAGTTTTTGGACACTGTTTACTTAAGGCTCACATCTTGTTTTCTGTTCTGTTGAAACAACTGTAGTCTCAAAGTTCAAACGTTTTAAGACTTGATTAAACTAATCCACAGCCACAGCTTCCCCTGATCACTCATTCAACCTAAATTGACAGATGACTGTCTTTATTTTCACTCTTTCCAAAACATATTTCGCCCCTAACCTCTATTTATAGTTGCAGATAGTCTTGGTTTATTATGCCAACGGTATTGTAATGCTGGACGCGAGACTAAAGTACTACTTACATTAAGCTCCAATGAATCGGAGTGGCAGCATCATTGTTGGATATTGTAAAACTATGATAAATAAAACCAAACTAATGTGCCTGGCTCTGTACCATAATGTATTTTTTAAATGTGAATAAACTTTCCCTTCAGATCAAAATTAACCATGAAACCAAACCAAAGGATACATCAACAATAGTTTTTTAACACTCATAGTTACGCTTATGAAATGACTGATTGCACATCATCATAACGCATTGAGACTTTGCCAAGAAGATGCTTTTTTTTTTTAGTGTCCTGTTTAATCTGTTTTCAATTTCAATTCTACACCCATCATTTTTAAAATTATTGAGGTAAATATATACAAGACACTGACCTAGCACAAAGGCATTCATGATAACACCAGAGATGGTTGTTCCAACCATGAAGCGAAGGGCAGTGTAAACATAGAAATTAGGGGCAAAAGCAGCAGCAACGCCAAAGACAGCCTGGATAGCGAGATTGATGAGGATGATGATCCTGCGACCATATCTGTAACAAGACAAAAGGTTTTAGAACTTCATTGGAAACTATACCCAGATGCAAAATTCTGTCAGTAATAGACAGGACAAAAGCAATGAACAAGATGTAAAGTGTTCACTTACTTATCAGCGAGGCTACCAAACACAACAGCTCCAACAAGGAGGCCAAACATGTAGATGGAGGAGCCCATGTTGTTCAGGCTGGCATTCTCACAGACCAGGTCCCACTGTGAAGAAGAAATTTTACATTTTAGTAAACTTGCTCTCTGAGTCACAGTCCAAATGGGCTAGACCTCCTGACCTTTCCCCTTTGAGATGCACCTCTACATTAAACCCTACTACTCATACAGCTGCAGGAATAAATGAAAATCATCAGTTTGTGCTGTTCGAAACTTTAATGGTGCTCGTGATCATGTTCGATTGCTTTTGCTTCTCAAGTTGCACATAGGAGACGTGGTTTGTTGGTGATCCACCCGTAGTATATACCACAGAGGTTCCACAGCTGGAATGGTACAAAGCTCCAGACATCATCCCGTCAAGCGCTAGTTAACTTCCAGAGTCTCCTAAATCAACTGCAGACTTCTTGCTTAGTGTCGTCACTGCAGATGGCTTGTCACATTGCCACATGTGACGTTGCCTTGTCCAATCAAATCATTTTGGTCATGTAACTACCCCTGGCGCCCACCCCTTACGTCCATGAACTACAAAACATGGCAGGGTATGTGGGGACGCCTGGAAGATGCCTGCACTGCAGGAGTCTATCTCTCAACCCTCATCCCGTTTAGCCCTTGTCTCAGATATCACCAGAGCCCACTGTAGTAAAGCTGCTAAGCTTCTCCACATTCCATAGCGGCATGGAGTCCTCGTGTTGAACACATCAACTGAAAATTTTGAAATTCAATAAATTCAAATCCTGATTTGAGAAGCTGTCAGAGAGGCTGCTGGCTTTTTACTCACCTCAGTTACTATGGTGTTTTGGAATGTTTCTGTGCTATACTCCCAGCCCCCTTGGCAGCTCACGGTAGGTTGTTCTTCGCCAAGAATTGCTGCATTGCTGTGGTTGAAAGGGACTCTGCAGGACAGCGCAGGCCAGACATCAGGGGTGGCCAGATGGCTGAAGTTTGAAGAGGCCGGAGTGCCTGCTGAGGGCCACGTGGAGCGGCATAAATGAGGAGGAACAGCCCCGGTGAACACCGACACCAGCATGTGGAACGCCAGAAAGATCTGAGGTAAACAGATCCACACATACAAGATCTTCTGGAACTTCCCAAAGCCTCCGATAATGAAGAGAATTTCATCAAAATTCATTTTTCTGACCGTTTGCAGACGCAGACTTAAACTGTAACTGATCAGGTTCTAATTCAGAAGGTCCAAAAGAGCTTCTAAAATGAAGCAGCCATAGATGCGCAAGCAGATAATAACAGAGAGCCCAGCGTCAGTCAAATGTCTGTGATAAGAGGCTGGAATTAATGAGTCTGTGCCAGGCTGATGATTAACAGGCAGAGAAAGTGTCCTCACTCAGATGCAGTCACACCTGTGTTGTACTCTAAGAGCAACCTGTGGCTGTCTGTAGTGAACTGTGGAGCTCTCTGACGGTGATCTAACCTAAGAGTGATGGGAGTGGACCAAAGCAGGAGGGAGGTCTTTGCCTGTTGGGGGGAGGAGTCTCTGTGTGATGGCTGAGCTGCTCTGCGTTTATCTCTCCACCCCTCTTCAAAAACTTTCATAACATAACAGAAAATTAGGTAACCCATTCTGACTTATTACCAAATGTTTTTTTGCACACTTTCATTTGACCCAAACAGGCCTGATTTCGAGGAATTTTATGAGCTGCAGTGGCAAAGGGACAGAACACAACCACTGTCATATCATATTTATGTCATTGAGAAAATGCACAGGTATAATGTGGCGGTTTCACTTTTCTATGTCTTTGATTTGTCAAACTTACTCAGTTTTTTCTTAGCAGGACTGACAGATATGCACATTCCAACTGGTGCACAGTAATTCTACTGTTGGATGAGGATGTGGGTGGAGGAAATGTCCAAGGCAGTGACACAAAAGGCGCAGATAGATAGCAGAGAGGATTCAGGCTGCACTGACTGCTCTGTACTCACTCCTATCATCAATAGCTCCCATTTCTTGGCCTGTGCTGCTTAATTTGAAAGCCACAGTGATTCTTACTCTGGCTATATCCTCGTGCATGCTATGTAGCTCAAAGTGGATCAACTATCATTGCCATCAAAACCATTGACAAAAATGGAACGGAGCTCCTGGGAGTAATCTGAGTAGACTGGCATTGTTTGATGAGGCTCCTGTGTTGAAGTCTCTATAATGTCAACATGAAATCTTATACAAAGCGTTCAAACTGCAAATGCAAAAACACAGCACAAAACAGTAGCAGTTGAGAAGTAGGTTACGAAAAACAAATCTATAAATGTCAGACTGGGGTGGAGGCAAGTCAGCACAAGACACCCTTTCAATACAAAGCAGGATATTAGTGAGGAGGGAGTGAGTGCTACAGTATGTGCTGCAAATCAAGTATCCCCTGGGAATGGACTGTATTACATCATAGGCTGAAACTGAAATCCAGAAAAAGTTGTTTTTTTTCAGAGACAAACTGGAGTAACAGGTTGAAAACAGGCTCTCTATAGAAACAACCAGTATTCAGCAGGACTCAGGCCCACATTTGACAGTTCCGCCCTTCCTTACTTTACAAAACGTAGCACCATCTTGTGGTCACATTAAAAAAATAAAAAATAAATAATCAAACCCGCCACAAGAATAAATCAAATGGTGGTACTTTTCAACCTAACTTTCAATCAAGCACTTTTGAGGGGAATCTGGTGTCCAAATGCATGAAAGTAATCGTGTTAGAAAAAGGACCCATGCAGTGGCAGCATTCGATTATTTCATCTCACTAAGTCAAATGATTTCAATTACATTGAAGATACTGGCACAAATAAATAAACTACAACCACTGCAGTAAAATTATACAGAGATGAAATGTTCTATCCTAAACTGCAGTCCAGCTTCTGCGAACTCGTTTTTACAAGTCTACTGCCAGAGTGATGGCTTACCTAAACAAGGCAGGAATGTTAGACTCGCACCTTGCAAAGCTGAGGTGTGAAAGTTCAAACAAAAGGCCCCAATTATGGTCTTTAAAGGTGATATAAGGAGGAGAAGGAGGAGGTGGAGCAGTTGCCCTCAAGCACCACCAGAGGAGACAATTGCTCTGCAGCTCCAACTTTACACTTCAAACCATCACCAAGCTTTTTTTTTTTTTTTTAAATGTGCTTTCTTCTTGCAATCTGCATTAACAACAAGGAAGCTGATTGTGGAATCTAACAACAAGCTTCAGGTGTGTTCGGACTATTTCTTTAAAGTCCCCGAGGGGAGTCGTGCTGATGACTTATTGATGGTCTGTCTGGTGAGTGGTATGGCCACCTGAAAGTCTGCAGGGCTTAGCTTTTCAGAAATGAAGGATTACTGGCTATTTCCTGTAACTGTAAAACTTTGTGTTTTGGGCTTGTTTCTGATTATATTCTAATTATTTGTTCCTTTTTTTTGATCCACACCACTTTCTATCTTTTTACAGGGTAATGTGGAAAAAAAACTGTAGCAATTTAATCTGAGTATCACACATGCCTCAACCCTGTCTGACTTTTTCTTACCCTGATATAGATGTATGCTCAGCCATTTTGGTCGTAGCCCCTCTAAATATCAGCTAAGAAGTTAAAAAAAAAACCCAGCCAGCTTACAGTGGACATAGTCTGAGGCAGCAAAACAGCACACAAACATTTGGTGAGGAGCAAATCAGGCCAGTTGACCCAACCATGGTCAGAATGTCATCAGAAACCATCAGCCCAATATGTATAGCAGGGGTGGTCAATCCTGGTCCTCGAGGGCCACAATCCTGCATGTTTTAGATGTTTCTCTCTTCCAACACACCTGATTCAAATGATCAGGATCGTTATCAGGCTTCTGCAGAGCTTGATGATGAGCTGATCATTTGAATCAGGTGTGTTGGAAGAGAGAAACATCTAAAACATGCAGGATTGTGGCCCTCGAGGAACAGGAATGCCCACCCCTGATGTATAGTATGCATACTTCAAGAGAAAGCTCAAGATAGCAGAGAGTCATCTTAACTTTGCTTCAACACAACTCCTAAAGGTGGTTTCGGTACAGAAGAGGAAACAAAAAGAAATGCATAAAAAAGAATGTTTGGCATTTGTTTGGAAAAATCCAAACATTGAAGAGCATCTTATGTGGAGTAATTAGTATTAATTATTTACTGTAAAAGACAAACAAAAATGTTCATTAAGAGTCCATATTATGCACATTTACAGGTTTGTAGTTGTATTTTAGGCATCTACAGGAATATATTTAAATGCTTTAATGTCCAAAAGATGCAAAATTTTCCTCATTCTGTACATTGCTGCAGCACCTCCACCATCTTTCTGAAATGCTTCATTTTAGCCCTTGTACCTTTGAAGTAGGAACATTGATAAAAACATATAGTGACTTCATACGTAACAAAAACCTGCGAACCGAACATCCTGTAACTAAAGGGCAACTGAAGATAAACAAATCTGTGACACTCTCTTTAAAAAGGTGAATGTTAACTGTGATTTAGAGTGATAGGTGCTGAATGGAGCTTTAACATGTTGGATAGTGCCTGCATTTATTGATTATCTTTCAAAAGCATGGGAAAAGTGGAGGATAGTAACTCTTCCAGTAAAGGCTCTAATAAAACACTAAAAAATATACTCCATAACAAATAAAAGCCCTGCATTCAAAAGCATAAGTAAAAGTATTACCAAATGCACTTAAAGTATAAAAAGCAGAAGTAGTCATTGTGCAAAACAATGTTTCCTGTCAGTGGCTTCTGGATTAATAATACTTCTGCACTCATTTGTACACACGTGGACAAAATTGTTGGTACCCCTCGGTTAATGAAAGAAAAACCCACAACGGTCACAGAAATAACTGAATAAAATTCAGTGAAAATTAAGCAATGAAAATCAGACATTGTTTTTGAACTGTGGTTCAATAGAATTATTAAAAAAAAATAAACTCATGAAACAGGCCTGGACAAAAATGATGGTACCCCCAGAAAAGACTGAAAATAATGTGACCATAGGGACATGTTCAATCAAGGTGTGTCCTCTAATTAGCATCACAGGTGTGTATGAACTTGCAATCAGTCAGTCGGCCTATTTATAGGGTTACAAGTAGTCACTGTGCTGTTTGGGGACATGGTGTGTACCACACTAAACATGGACCAGAGGAAGCCAAACAGAGAGTTGTCTCAGGAGATTAGAAAGAAAATTATAGACAAAAAGGTAAACGCTATAAGACCATCTCCAAGCAGCTGGATGTTCCTGTGACTACAGTTTCACATATGATCCATGGACTGTAGACAACCTCCTTGGATGTGGCCACAGGAGGAAAACTGATGACAAATGGAAGAGACGGATGATACGAATGGTAACAAAGAGCCCAGAACAACCTCTAAAGACATTAAAGGCGAACTCTAAGGTCAAGGTACATCAGTGTCAGATCACACCATCCGTCGTTGTTTGAGCCAAAGTGGACTTCATGGGAGACGACCAAGGAGGACACCATTGTTGAAAACAAATCAGAAAAAAGCCAGACTGGAATTTGCCAAACTTCATGTTGACAAGCCACAAAGCTTCTGGGAGAATGTCCTATGGACAGATGAGACAAAACTGGAACTTTTTGGCAAGGCAGCTCTATGTTCAGACGCAAAAATGAAGCATATCAAGAAAAGAACACTGTCCCTACTGTGAAACATGGAGGAGGCTCTGTTATGTTCTAGGGCTGCTTCGCTGCATCTGGCACAGAGTGTCTTGAATCTGTGCAGGGTACAATGAAATCTCAAGNTCACAGGTGTCTACAAACTTGTAATCAGTCAGTCGGCCTATTTATAGGGTTACAAGTAGTCACTGTGCTGTTTGGTGACATGGTGTGTACCACACTAAACATGGACCAGAGGAAGCCAAAGAGAGAGTTGTCTCAGGAGATTAGAAAGAAAATTATAGACAAAAAGGTAAAGGCTATAAGACCATCTCCAAGCAGCTTGATGTTCCTTTGACTACAGTTTCACATATTTAAGATCCATGGACTGTAGACAACCTCCTTGGATGTGGCCACAGGAGGAAAACTGATGACAAATGGAAGAGACGGATAATACGAATGGTAACAAAGAGCCCAGAACAACCTCTAAAGACATTAAAGGTGAACTCTAAGGTCAAGGTACATCAGAACGCACCATCTGTCGTTGTTTGAGCCAAAGTGGACTTCATGGGAGACGACCAAGGAGGACACCATTGTTGAAAACAAATCATAAAAAAGCCAGACTGGAATTTGCCAAACTGCATGGTGACAAGCCACAAAGCTTCTGGGAGAATGTCCTCTGGACAGACAAGACAAAACTGGAACTTTCTGGCAAGGCACATCAGCTCTATGTTCACAGACGCAAACATGAAGCATATCAAGAAAAGAACACTGTCCCTGCTGTGAAACATGGAGGAGGGTCTGTTCTGCTCTGGGGCTGCTTTGCTGCATCTGGCACAGGGTGTCTTGAATCTGTGCAGGGTCCAATGAAATCTCAAGACTATCAAGATAGAGAAATGTGCTGCCCAGTGTCAGAAAGCTTGGTCTCAGTTGCAGGTCTTGGGACTTGCAACAGAATAATGACCCAAAACACACAATAAAAAACACCTGAGAATGGCTCAGAGGAAAATATTGGACTATTCTGAAGTGGTCTTCTATGATCCCTGATCTAAATCCTATTGAACATCTGTGGAAGGAGCTGAAACATGCCGTCTGGAGAAGGCACCCTTCAAACCTGAGACAACTGGAGCAGTCTGCTCATGAGGAGTGGACCAGAACACCTGCTGAGAGGTGCACAAATCTCATTGACAGTTACAGAAATTGTTTGATTGCAGTGATTGCCTCAAAAGGTTGTGCAACAAAGTGTTAAGATAAGGGTACCATCATTTTTGTCCAGGCCTGTTTCATGAGTTTATTTTTTTAAATAATTCTGTTCAACTACAGTTCAAAAGCAACGTCTGATTTTCATTGGTTAATTTTCATAGAATATTTTTTTTAATTTATTATTACTTTTGTCAGATTAAAGGTTTTTCTGAGACCATTGAAGGTTTTTATTTTAATTTTAACTACTTTATATGTTGTTGGGTAATTTAACCATCTGAACTCCAAAACCCACCGGCAGGTTTGAAAGGCATGTTATCATAAAAACTAATAATATTTATGCCATTTATGAGAGAGTCGTCTCATTGTCACCTTTTGGAAATTTCTTCAGAAAAATCATCTGTGATGTGCAGTTCAACCAGAAAACTTTAACCAAATCTAAGCTTAAAATCGTGATACTTCAAAATCACTTTATTCTTTGTGCCCCATTTAGAATTTTGCACAAAAAAAAAAACTGCCCTAACCAGATTCTGTAAATGTGCCTCAGCTCTGACCAACAGTCACGTGACATAAATGTAGAGACTTTTCGACTGGACTGGGCTGAACTGCAGGCTGTGCTTGTACAGAGCAGATAAGTAGTAAATATCTATAGCATGTAAAGCCACCACTTTTCCCCATATTGGTAGCACCTGTGGACAAAAATGCTGTACATGCTATTTCATTTTTTCCCCCAATTTTTGCACAATAAATAAAGAAATTCACCTTTTGTTTCTTCTTTTTGGATGATTTATGTTATTATAACTGTGTCAGACTGCACAGAAGGCATTCTCTCTTCTAGACATGGTTGTGCTGTTTCCACAGAGGGGCAGGAAAAATGAGCCTTCAGTGAGTGAAATATAACAGGAGCAAAAGGGATGGGGTTCAGAGGGTAAATCTACAGCAATGTGCCATATTCTATAGGATCACCACATGTTTGTAGAACTGCTGTCCTTTGAGAAGGACATATTTCTTAGAAAATCCAATTTTCATGAGCTCAGAAAAACATGTTTTAAGCTCGATGCAGTGAAGTAAAAAGCACAATGTTTGCATCTGAAGTGTAGTGATGGAGTAAAAATATAGTTATATAAAATGTATACAGCATCATAAATTTGTTCTTAAGCACAGTACTTGAGTAAAAGTACTCAGTTACTTAGTCCGGCATTTAACTCTTCAGAGTGTATTTGATTGTTGGATTGTTAGATGTGAACTGGGTCAAATAAGAAATGTTTTCAAATCAGAGAAGCAGATGTAGTATTTGTCTAGTTTGGTTTTAAATCATATGTTTTGGGTTTAGGGGCGGTGTTTGTGTGTTTACTGTATTTCCAGTGTGAAATATCTCCAGGAGTGTTGTTTGTGGGGGGTTTATGTTTGGATAATGTTTATTTTTGACTCATGCCGAGGTTTGTGTCTGGAAGATGCTGATGGTCGATGATGTGGGTTAACATGTTGAAATGTTTGGTTTGTTGTCAGCAAATGTTTCTTAGTAATCTTATGAAGGATGGGTCGTGTAAATGACCAGATGAAAATAAAATATGCATTCATTAATTGAGCATTATGGTAGGTAGTAGGATTACTGTCAGCGTTATTGTGTAAACAAACAGCTTTTGTTCGGATCTTTCCATGTGAACTCTCAAAGGGCTGTTGGCTTTACGGGGATGGAGGTGGAGAGTTCGTTCTGAGAGGGACCTCTTTACTCAGTGTAAATAATAATGGAATGTGAACTCAAATACATGTCAGTCCACATCATGTGGGACGGTACAGCTTCAGCACCACATTAACCAAACGGCACACAGTGGATGTATTTACTGAGAAGAGCTCCACTTGTGAATTTGGGTTTTTGTTTGACAATTTAAGAATGAACTGCTGCTGGAAATGTACGTTGCCGGGTGCTATGTAGCGGCCTGTCACATATGGTTTACAGATTTAACTCTTAGTTTAAACCCAGATAAACGTGAGCGAGGGTCCGCAGACTAAGAATAAACAAGTGGGCAGGACTTGAAGGCCTCGGAGCGGCCCGGCAGTTATGAAGACAAATATTTCCCCTTCTGGATCAGCGAGGCGGGGAAAGGTGTGTTTGGAGAGGAGACAGAGGGGTGCTTTGTCCCCGTCTTCAACAGGTCAGCTCTCCCAATCTCTCCTCACCCCACCCCATTCCTCTGCCAGCTCCCAATCCCCCTCCCTCAAGCCCACCTTCCTGCTCCCTCGTCCCCCTGTGCTCTCTCCTCCAGAGCTCACACAAACCTTAACACTTAAGAGATGCTATCGCTTCTCTGCCGTTCCCTCCTGCTCATCCTTGCTCAACAGGTAAGAAGAGCATTATCTTTTTCTATTCTCATGCTACAGACAGACTGGGTCTCTGCTAGGACGACAACTGATATCCCGCAGCACCTGCCCTAAATGAAACAACAGGAAAATACACGGCAGAAACTGTACTTAGGAAAAACAAACCCTCAGTATTTGCCTTTTCATTAGTGTGGTTTTATACTTATTTGCATACAGAGTGGTTTTACTGGGCTCAAGTTTAGTCTTTCAAAGTATGAGCTGGCAAAAGAGGGCTAAATTCTGAGAGCTTTGTATTTAAAGCTCCCACGGACCCATTTTCACACCATGAAATGAGCTCATTCAGTAAACCTGGCAGACAGGCTTCAGATTTTTGGCATAACCCTCAGTGACCCTTGGAAGCACTGACAGGCCGGGGAAATTAGAACACAGGCGGCACCATGCATGAGTTTCTCCACTGTGAAAAATGAGCAAAGCAAAGCAGAAAACATTGGTAATATTACTAAAAGTGAGTGCTGGAATATTTAAAAGCTGCTTGATTGTCATTCCTCTGAGCTGTGAGGAGTGGTAAACCTTCACTGCTGTCCCACTCTGTCTGCTGTCAGGATGATGCTTTAAGTTTCAATTATTGTTGATTGATTTGTGCTGTTTTTTTGCGTTTTAAATGTTAATTTAAAAGATGGGACATTTTGTAACCGTCTCTCAACCACATTTAGACATCACACAAATATGAAAACTTAATACCATAGCAGCAAAATTAAATGTATAATTCATGGCACCAAATTCACAGGAATAAAGGGGAAAAAGTGGTTATATTTTGAAAGTTCTTACACAAACTATGCAACAGTTACTCAAGTTGTAAAACCTTAATTTCATGTATTTTTGTCTGATATTAATTACTGCTACTGACTTTACATGAAACCTCAAGAACTGTTTCACTACTGCATGCTGTATTTGGACAATCTCAGGAATGAAAGGAAACTAAATGTGTTCTTGTCTCCTATTCAGCTTTCTAGCCTAAATATATACATTTAAACACCTGATTTAAAGTTGCTTAACAAATCATATGAACAGACAGCATCATCATGCATGGCTGATTACCTACAACAAATACACATCTTAAGGTGTTGGGACATTAAAGCTGAGTTTTCTAAAGTTCAGGAAACAGGAAAAACTGGCTAAATTAGCCTTTGCTAAGGCTAACAACAAGAAACAGCTAGCCCAGTGGGCAGTCTGCACTTTGTTTTTACCCATTTCTGAGGCTTTGTGTGATTTTAATGTTGGTTTTGTGTAATTTACTGCTTTGTCACTTAAAAGATAAGACCAAAATCACTGGTAGTCTATGTCCCAATAATCTTGTCGAGCTAAACCTATCTACACAGCGGCTGGCTCAAAAAACGCGTTGGTGTGTTTGTTTGATTTTAATATTTTAACCATTAGCTAGAATACCAGGAAACTTCAGACAATGACTCTGGAGATGCCCCAACGTTTCTTCTTGAGCCTCTGGAAGGCTGATATTCAGCATCTCTCTGGTGAATCAAACCCTTTTAATCCAGCACCATCAGCAAGGCAAAGTTTCATTTTTTTCTCAGCGTCCTGCTAACTCACCTGGTAGAGTGTGTGCACGTGCATCATGTACTGAAGCTGAGTCCTTATCACAGCTGCCTGGGTTTAAGTCCAGCCTGGCCCTCTGATGCATGTCATTGTCTCTCTCCCTCTCTCGCCCTCCCTTCCTGTCTCTCCTCAGCTGTCCCTATGAAATAAAAGGCCAAAAATTAATCTTTATAAAAATTATTTGTCCAACACTTATACCTGCAAAACTATCAGAATCAGCTTTACTTTGTGTAAACGAAAGATACATTCACAGGTGGTTTGGGGTTTTTTTGCGATTTTGTTTTTTTCATCCGAAACACCTTCCGTTTTATTGCCAAGTAGGCTTTCATATATGAGGAATCTGACTTGATGTTCTGGTGCATAACAGTAAAAACTGAAAAGCACAAAATTTAAAAGAAAAAAAAAAAGATAAATCTAAATCTAAATCATCACCATTTAGATAGCGGAACAATATCTTTCTCAAAATAGACAAACCAAAAACAAAAAACAAGTTTCCTAAATCACAAAATGCAATCACATTCTAACAGTGAGAAAAACAGGTAACTCCCAGTTACCAGTCTAAAATGCCATTTCTCTATGGCTACATTAACATTAAGAGGATGACGGAACCGTTCACATCCATTTCTCATACCATGAGATGCCTACTTTTTCCACTCTAGATGGAAAAACAAACTTTCAGGGACCATCTCTCTCCTTGCTTCCATCTCTCTCTCAAGATCTTTCAAGCTGAACCAAAAAAATATCTGACACAAAATATTGACCTTGGCTTCCATAAAGCACTTGAGTGAAGTGCAAACTAAGTGTGTGAAGGCATTTTATTCTTAAGCCTCCCATTAAGGTGTCTGCGCTGCAAACTAACGACCTCATACGTGGCAGGCTCAAAACGTCCTGCTCCAACATTTTCCACAGTAGCTAAACTTGGAGGCGAGACAAGAAACTGTCAGAAAGATGGATGTTTGCAAACTGGAACCAGAAAAAAACTGAGCTGGTAAAGGTGAACATTTCATTTTTTGCAGACTGCTAAAAAAGAAACATACCAGAACTAGGTATGTTTGATTAAGCTGCTACAGTATGTCTTAGCTGCTGAAATGTCAGCCTCTTTCAGCCTCCAGCTGGACTGAAACTCCAACAGGAAACAGGAGTTTAGAAAGGATTGCAGTTTGTTCTTGTGGACAAGTTGACAACAAGTTCACAGTCAAACCTGCTGTTTACAGTTGAGATAGCGCACCAATGTGCACCAGTTGCTATGATTTAAATATCCTGATATCAGCGGGCTAACATAAGAATCCAACAGGCAGTGGTAAAAAAGAAAATGTCAGTTGCTAAATGGTCCTGGTCATTTCTAATATGTTCTGCAGCATTCCTATCACCAGCTGATGCAGTAGCTCTCTAGAACATCAGTAGTTAATTACAAGTGATGGTGAAAACCAAAGAGCTTAGCAGCCTTGTTATCTGAGCCCATAACTGAGATGGAGTTGTGCATTGTGACTCATCTATCCAAGTGTTTTCAAGTGCAAAACATAATCAAAAAGTACAAGGTACTCTTCTTCTTATTATTATTGTTTCGGTCTAGAACAGGTGCATAATTCATTTCACTGCGCATTACAGTATATACAATTGTAATGTGACCAATAAAGGCCTTGAATCTTGAAATTCTCCAAGACAGACACTCAAAAGCTCATCTGGTCTTTGTAAAAGCTCACCAGAAAAAACAAAGCAGTTTTTAAAGTAATCAGTCCTGTGGTTGGATGAGACACGAACGCAGGTGTTTGAACACAGGTATGTGGCTTTTAAATGCCAAAAGAAAGTAGAAGCACTCAGCCAGAAGAACAGGGTTCCGACTGACAAGCATGATGGTGGGAATGTAATGCCTCAGGTTTTTTTGTTGTAGTAAATGGCATTACGAGAAAAAAAGAGGACAAAAAAATTTGGGAGGGAAACATGAGAATCTGAAAAACCTAGCCTTGGGCAGCATTGGAACTTCACTGGATCAGTTAAAAAAGAAAAAAAAAAGGTCAAAGTGGTGAAGAAATGGTTAACATAAAACAGTCGTAAAAATAGTAAATAAAAACAACATAAAAATAGTTAAAACTATGAATTAACATCTCTGACACAGTGCCTGACCACGTCTTCTCAATTCTTTATAGCATTTCCAGCCAGATGAAACCAAAATTCACTATAAATCTAAATTCGGCATGTGTATGAATAATTTGGGGCAAAAAACAAAATAAAAATAGTGAATTATTTTGGTCTTAACCAAACTGCTGGACAGACAAACAAACTAAACACTAGCTCTGTAAGACTAAAATCAGAAAAGCTGGACATGAGGTATCCGGGCTGCTGAGAAAACTGTGCGGAAACAATATTATTTTGCATCTATTGAGGAGTTCAACCCGCAATAAAAGTGGTGTGAACACAGCTCCAGCAAAATGCCTCTTTGAACCCTGAATCTGTCTTTCCTCACCCAGTGCTTCAGCCAGGCTCAGAACAATGGGCAGCTGCCGGCTCCTCAGGGCGGGCGGGCTGCAGCCGAGAGGCGGCAGTTCTGCCAGTGGCCCTGCAAGTGCCCCAGAGAGAGACCCCACTGTGCCCCGGGCGTGAGCTCCGTCCTGGACGGGTGCGGCTGCTGCAAGAGCTGCGCCCGACAGATCGGAGAGCCCTGCAACGAGAGGGACGTGTGCGACCCCCACAAGGGCATGTACTGCGACTTCTCAGCAGACCAGCCGAGATACGAGGTTGGAGTGTGTGCATGTGAGTGCGTCTGTTTTTTTTTTGTTCTCACATTTTCTGTTTAAATCAATAGCTCTTGCTGACTTAGAGGTTTGGACAGTGGATGCATGCTGTTAGCAGGTGTTCATACCCAAAGCAGCCATCTGTTTAAAAAAAATGCTAAGGGTGTTGTTATAGATGTGTTGCAACAGGAATGAACTTTCAGTTATAAGCAGGCTAAAGAAAAACAACTCCAAAATGATTGATAGAATTTTCACAATTTGATTAATTCTGTCCAAGAACATTTTGAGAGCCAAGAGAGCTGTATAATCCAGTTATTTTCATTTGCCTGTGCGGGGAGCAACACACTGGCCTCTTTTAAGGTCAGTGGAAGTCTCAGTCGAGTAGACTCTCAACTGGCTCAGCTGGAAAAGAATTCAGAAACTTGTAAGCATGAAAACGCCTGCAGGGACTTTTCGGAAATAAAACTCAGTGGGCAACTTTCACAAGAAACAAGGCTGCAAGTAACAATTATTCTCACTGTTGGTTAATCTGTTCATTATTTTCTCATTTATTCAATTGTTATTGTTGGTTGTTTGGTCTATAAGATGTCAAAAATAGTGAAAAATGGTAATCAGTGTTGCCTTGGTTTGTCCACAACTCAAAGATATTCAGTTAACTGTCACGGAGTAGTAAAGAAACAAGAACATATTCAATTTTAAAAGCCGAAATTTTGACTTTTTCTTCTTCTTTTTTTTTTTTATTTAAAAAGGACTCAAAACCAATTATTTGAATTAGCAAAACAGTTAGCTTTTAATTTAGTTAAACACAATTCATTCTTGCATCTCTAATAGGAATGCATATCTGTCGTCCATCTTTGTAATACAACCTTGTTTTTTCACAGTTTTACAAACATCTGATAGACAGATGCACTAATCAATAAAACTACCCACATTAGTCATCTGACAGTTTGTGTCTACATACTGAAGCATATTTTCATGTTTAAAGTCTATTTCCTACTTTCTTGTGTGTGGAACTACAAGGAATTTGTTCTAGGCTGTAAAACAACAGCACCACAAGAAAGCATTCATACATTTTCAAACCATTTCTGGCTTTCTGCTGAAAATAAGTGTGGTAAACTTTTTGGGTTGTTACAAAAAGAAAGAAAAACATTCATTTACATAGAAATGTAATGCAGTTTAAAGCTCCACAGTAACCGCATCAAGACAAATTCATCATGAGTCGTGACATGTTTCCCCTCATTCCTTCAGACATGATGGCAGTGGGCTGTGACTTGAATGGGGCCCACTATGAGAACGGAGAAGCTTTCCAGCCCAGCCCCCTCTATAAGTGCACATGCATCGCCGGAGCCATCGGCTGCACCCCCACTTTCATCCAGAAGCCTGCCGGCCTCCTGGGCCCCGCCCCGCTGATGGGCAACAGGCCAGCTGGCCTCCGCAGTGGCCAGAGTCCAAACAAGCACCAGCAGGACACTACGTACATGTCAGGTGTGTGTTTAGAGAGTAAACTTGTGGAGAAGGGCCAGCCTGTCTGGCCTGGAATGCTAATTGCTGTCAAAGTTAGCCGAATAGAAGGGGAGAGGGGAATTCATTACTCTGGCAGCGCGAGATGTGACTGCCTGTGGTTAGATTGCCTCACACAGGAAAACAGAGTGATGGATGGTTCCAGTTATGAAAAACAGGAGGAGGAGGGACAACTCAGTTTTCATTAAAAAGCACCAGAAATGTCACTTTAATGTACGGGACAGCTCATTTGGTAAGCTTCGTGCGTAACTCTGCCGAAACATATCTATACAATAATCTGTGTGTTTCAGGGAAACTCTACTTAGATTCTGGGGCGATCTTGTGTTAGTGGAGCTCAAAGGGAACATTTACAAGTTATGTGGCGAATTCCGTCATGGTGAGTCAGACCAGGCATTTTGAGGTTGTTGGGTAGATTCTGATCTGTCCTCTGCATGGCAGCACACAGGCTAGCGCTTTGTGTAGGGTGTTGTTGACACAGTACCCTTTAACTGTAACACTGAAAGCTTACAGGGATCCTCCTTTAGCCTGGAAGAAGAACTGTCTGATCCAGACGACGCCCTGGAGTCCCTGCTCCAAGACCTGCGGCCTTGGCATCTCTGTACGTGTCAACAACGACAACAGCAAATGTGAGATGAGGAAGGACCGCCGCCTGTGCCTGCTGCGACCGTGTGAAAAAAGCATGCTTAAGAGCATTAAGGTGAAAATTTTGTTTAAATCTAACTAATTGGTGGCGTGCTTTTATATCACATTCAAAAAAAGTTATCGGTGATTGCTTTTGTTGATAGATGCCAAAAGGAAAGACGTGTAAGCCGAAATTCCAGGCAAAGAAAGCAGAGAAACTGAAGCTCTCTGGCTGCACCAGCACTAAGAAGTTCAAGCCCACATACTGCGGTGTCTGCACAGACAAGCGCTGCTGTGTCCCCAACAAGTCACGCATGATAAAGGTCAACTTCACCTGCAAAGGGGGCTCCAACACACAGTGGAAGATGCAGTGGATATCGTCCTGCGTGTGCCAGAGGAAGTGCAACGATCCGGGCGACATGTTTTCTGACCTGCGGTTACTGTAATGGAACCATTTAACAAGTCCAGAGACACAGACACAAAGTACGAGCCCCGCTAGTAAAATCTGAGGACTGAAACATACTTTGGTTATTAAGTTCTCCTTAGCGGTAGTGATGTGCCTCAAGAAAACTAAAAAACACAAAAAAATCCAACTACAAAACCGAATTTGATCAGAAAGAATGGTGGAGACCATTAAATAAAAGAAGAAAAATGTTGTTAGTTATGATGAAAGCTTTTATGAACCTTGTCTTCAGGACAAGTATGTGCAATAACAAGGAATATGGCCAGTGTACTAGCTGTAACAGCAGATGTTGTCCTGTCAACATTACCTCATAATACCACGGTCAGGGAGCCTTAAAAGGCAAATCAGGTTATACAGATTGAGTTGAACTCGGACATTCTTTTTACATGTTGTTCCTGCTTGTTTTTTTCAGACAGAGAACATTTAATCAGGTCATAAATTAGACAGTATTGATATATAACTTATAACGGTATATACAGATGATTTGGTTGTGTGAAGTGCTTTCTAAAAAAAGACAGACAAATAAACACAGACAGCTACACACAGATTCACAACAGAGCGGACCTTCATGTGGCGATGCTGAGTCTGGGTGCGTCAGGAATGAGTCTGGCCTTGGTGGCATCCAGATGGTGATACTCTTCAATCAGTGAGCTGAGGGAGGCGATGGCCTCTGAGAAGAAGCTCTGCTCCATCCCCTCTACGTGCAAGTAGTGATGTAAGTGAGCCTAAAAATACAGCAAAAGATGACAACAAAATTTAAAGTTATTAGGCCAGATACAAACAAAGTAATATTATTCAAAACAAAAACATTACTTTTGTTGTCTCCTCTGGGCAAGTGACCATTCAAAACCAATGACCCAAAGCCAAAAAAGGTAGTGTCTTAGTTTTGGCATTGGCACTGACAATATGTTCATTCCTTTTCAATCTTTACACCCATTTGTTAAGTTCAAGTGCTGAAAGATTTTTTAAAAAGAATAACTGGAAAATATACACTCAGTTGGCAGTTCAATGAGTCCATTCAGCTAAAACCAATACGGTTTAATGCAATGGTCCAACAGCACCAAAAAGGTCGCCTTGAAAAAATAGTTGAAATCACACTTCCCTAAAACAGCTGCAACAAAAACTAATCATCATATCTTTCGTGAAGGAAGGGTTTATTGCAGGACTGTTGTACTAGACTGTTTTAGTTCCTTTTTAATTAAATGTTTAGTCTATAAAATGTAACCTGCCACACGACAATAAGGGTCTAAAAATATGGTACATTCAGGACCCATGCTAATTATTAGTAATCAAGTATATCTTTAATTGTTATTCAAAGCCAAAAAAATTGCAGTAAAAATAAAAATCTTGCTGTCACACTGTAGATACACTAAGCACAAAACTTTGCTATGCTTTCTTTGTTTATTTGTGTTTTATATATGTTTATTCAAAAGATAACTTTTTGACTTGTCTCCTTCAGGTGTGATAGCCTATTACTTGTGATCCGTAACCAATCAGTGCTGTTGGCGGGACACTGCTCCAGATGCATTTTTAAACCAATGTATTGTATTGCAAGTAATTATAATATGGATAGTCTGAAAAATGTAGAATATTAGACCCAATAAGAGGCCAGGTTGACAATCAGTCGACCCCTTTTACTGACCTGTTTAAGACTGTACTTTTGGCTAAATGCTAATATCAGCATGCTAACATAATATTTAGCAAGTATATTGTTGATTGTGAAAATGTTCACTCAAATAGTTTAGCTTGTTAGTTTGCTGAGATTAACAGAAATATTAATACAAATGCAGGTATTTAATCATAAATGAAAGACAAAGTAAAATTTGGCAGCACTACATGAAAAGTTCACAATTTGTCTGAAGGTGTTGGAAGTGTTTAGACATTTACTCAAAATGTGAAAACAAATGTGGGGAAGGGATCATCAAACATAGTAAGAGAAATCCTCTGAGGATGGATCCAGCCCAGTAGTTTTTCTGGACAAAAGTGGTAGATCAAGTAACAAGCAAATCACAAATGGTCATCACAAATTACTGCAGGGAAATGTTTCCAAAAAGTACATTTTACTGAATTTAATAGTTCATAAATTAATTTTTGTACCGTCTAAAAGCCTAAAAATATTAGATTACTGAAAACGCACCTTCTTCCTGTAGAGCCTGGTGAAGTGTTCTCTCAGCTCCATGAATGTGGGCTTCACACAGGTGTTGTTGGCCAGAGCTAGCAGGGAGTGGGAGTGACCCACAGGAGGCACTGAACACAGGCCCGTCTTCCAACCTTCCTGGTTCCACGAGACAAAAGGCAGCGACGGCCTCAGCCTAGGATGAAGAGCAAGATTAAAACTGATACTGATAACTGTATATTTAACACAGGGATGTAGCTGAAAACTCAAAGTTGTGAGGTTTACAAAGCACCAAGGAACTCAGTTAAACTCAGTTAAGCATCTAGGGCGCCTAACATATGGGCATCCACGCCCTGAGCAGTGGGATCTCGGCTGGCCGGACCATTCGCTGCACGTCACTGCTCTATTCTCTCATATTTTCTGTTTCTCAGTCTCTCTATTAACAAATAAAGGTGAAAAAAATATATAAAGTTTAAAAAAAACAAAAACAGAATAACAGCTATCTTGTCAAGAAAATCCCTATAACTAAGTTCTCGGAGCAAGCATTTGTCTTAAAATTGTCCAAAACTAAAGTATTGATTTCACTGGGTTCTAAAAATATGAAAAGTAGCAAATTATCAAATTCGAGCAGTGAAACCACAGGCAAGTCAGTTTTGCTTGATAAATGACAAACGATTTATCTGTCGACGACATTATTTGGAATTTATTTTTTTGTCAGGGACAAAATCTCATTCGTTTTTATTTCTTTTCTGAATCCAGGAGTTGTAGTTCTTTTATGACACAAACATGACACTGATGTAACTAACAGCAAAATGCACGAATTACAACATGCCCAGTGATTAAACCTGGCTTTACAAGTGTTTGGGTGTGCAGCACTGTACTTTTCCTTCTTCTCTCCCACTTTCCTTTTTTAAATTATGGTCACACATACATATGCTCTCACACCAGCTTCTGTTTCAGTTTCTTTTGACTACGTGCCATACAAAAACAAGATCTGTGGGGAGAGCGGTGAGAGCAGAGCGGAGGAGAGGTGGCTGCTGAATGGACCAGTCATGAATTATTGCTGCTGGTGTTGAATGGAGGTACTATTGCCAGGAGTGAGTGTGAAGGTCCTTTTTGGAGCTGTCAGGGTGGCTGCACGAGCTTAGTGTGTGTTGTGGTGCAGAAGGAGGCGGCGTGTGAGGATGGTGCTCTGACCTCTCGATATTCCTGCGCAGGTCAGACACTTGCACGTTGCCCCTGACCATGAGGGCACAGGCCAGGTAGAGGCTGTGCTTTGGGTCGGCTCGGATTAGCTGGTGGTCTTTACTGAAAGCATCACTGAACATCTGATCCAGTCTACAGGAGCAGAGTTAGAAAAAGTAAAAGAAAAAAAATGTTCACATCACTGAACAAACAAGAAATCTTCTGTGCAGAAAATCCATTTCAAATATTAGATTTATATTGTTTTCTGCACATAGTATCATCAAATCAAATAAAAAGAAACTTAAATTGAAAAAGAATTGAAGACATTCAAGTTCAGCTAACATAAAAACCAGTGGAGCAGTGTTGACATTGATTAATTTTTGTAACTTATTCATGCACAAAGTCCTGCTGAGCAGTCAAGATATTTTTAAGCAACACCCTGTTCTGCATTCATACAGTCACAGATATTTACCATTGGGAGTTACCCAGTACAACCACTGCTCTCTCTGACCAATGAGCAGCTCCACTGGAGCAGACGAGGACCTTATGGTTCACACAAGGCCACGTTTATGTCAGCTGTTGTTGGGGAGGAGGTATGTGGGTTCCTGTTTTTTCCAAATCAGGCAGAGAGCACTTAGAGTTGGCACCTTGTCGATTAAGTAAAATAGGGTAGCTTTGTGGTGAATGAAAATCATATGCCTCTTGTTTAAATTATGTGAATGATTAGACAAAAATTACATTTAAGCTTCCTCTCTGGCCATTGATTAAACCCCTAAAAACTCATCTTGGTGTATCAAAGTTACATATTTAACCAGTCAAGGTAAAGATATTTTATTTAGCTCATTATGTGACTTTCTGCATATAAAAAACACCATATAAACTTTTCAACACATTAACAAGTCAATATTCACCAGAGGGGGTCTTTAAATTACCAAAATATATACGATGTGACTTTGCCTGGGCAATAAATTTGCACATTCCTGCACACTGGAAGCATTTCTATTACTTTTTAAAGCCTCTAGTCCCTTGATTATACTTGCCGCTAATTTGATTTGTAACACTTGCTGTCCACTGACTTGCAATACTTTTTTAATCAATATGTTACCGTTACACAGTAAAAAGACACCAAGTCAGATTACTCATATGTAAAAAGCTTCTTGGCAATAAAACAGTTTTTGTTTCTAAATGTAAAAAGAAAAGTGCAAAAAAAAAAGAGCAACTAAACTAAATTATATCAAAAGATGTTTGAACACTATTTTAGGTAGTTCTGCACACATTAAAAAATGTCATTGAGGTTTTTGTTTTATAAAAACATTTATCTGATCTAATGCATAAATGCAGTCATTTTAATTCACTTGCCGTAACCTAATCTATGTAGACATCAGAAAAATATTCATATTTACAAATGCGATACGACCCACATCACCCAGGCCTATGTGCAATACATGAAGTATTTGTCCCATGTGACTGGTACCGTTTCATCATCACGTTTCAAATGACACTGCAAACAAACTGAGCACACTTCTTACGGGGGGGAGGGGGGGGTTTCACGTGAGCTCAGTACTCTGAGCTCTGAGGGCTTCAGAACAACTGTGATGTAAAAATAACTGACAGCGAGGCAGCAGACCTTCTGGTGGGAACACTGACGTCAGCCAGCGTGTAGAGAGGGGTGAGGCTGGGCACCAGGTAGTGCAACCGAGGGAAGGGCACCAGGTTCATAGCAATCTCATTCAGGTCCATGTTGAGCGATCCCTCAAAACGGGCTGAGCTGTAACAAAGGAAACCTAAGGTAATGCATTGGAAACAACTGATTCAGTGAGAAAAGGAATTTTCATGAGACTCTGTCAGTCTTACTGTAAAACAAAACGCTCAATTATTGAGCACCATTAAAAAACACTGCGAGACAGGTGTGTTTCTCTCAGAACACAGGGGCCTACTGTATATGAGCTACCAGTTGTTCTATACCTGGTAATGTTGAGCAACAAGTTAGCCACAATGTTATTCATGGCATCAAAAGGCTTCTCTGGCCCACTGATGCCCCCCTGCCCAGAGATGACGGTGCTGTCTCTCTTGATCACTGATCCCGGCTTTGCACTGTGAGACATGAGCTGGATCTTGCTCACAATGTCGACCAATGACTGAAAGGAGAGAAGTGAGGGGAAAACGAGGGGATGTTGTTAAAATTCACTGGTTTGATTTATACATGATGGCCAGACATCTGCAGAAAGAGGCTCCAAACACACAAACCTGGTTCTCCACAGGCAGGACACAGTCAGCGTGCTCTGTGAGCTCTCTCATGGCGAGGACACTGTTGTAGGGCGATGTGATGACGTCGTCTTCTGCAGATGGATAGATGGAGGTAACGATGCGACAGACCTCAGGGAACTCCTCCTCCAGCAGGCTGAGCACTCTGGTCCCAAGACCGGAGCCAGTACCTTAAACCCAGAATCAGTCATAACTGCAGTAACCACATCTATTTGTTTGTCATTAGAACTTAAAGCTCAGCTTCCATAATCTATGAAGGGGATTAGTGCGTCCTAAAATGTTGGTTTTCTAGTTAAGTCATTGTGTGACTTGCAAGTAGCATCCTTCATGCATCACTGGGACTCTTAAGTGAAAGATTTAAAAGGGATAAAGGATAAAGGAGTTGTTTGAGGGGCAAGACTTGAAATTCAATATAAAAAAATATTAAAATAATCGACACTTTGATCTGTAACATTAATATTACTTGACTGAGGCAAGGTTTAGGTAAAGGATCTCCTTAAAATATCCATGCATGGATGTCTCAAACTGTTTCAGGATCTCACCTCCTCCCATAGAGTGGATAAGAAAGAAGCACTGCAGACAGTCACAGTGTTCTGCTGCCTTCCTCAGCTTATCCAGAATCTGCTCCCTGTAGGCCGAGCCGTATGTCATGTGTCCGGCTGCCCTGGACAAGGAACAGACAAGCTTGTTAATGAATAAAACATATTATTTTTTAAAATAAATCACAAATAGTGGCAAAAATGCTACGTTTAATAAAAGGTACTGTGTACATTTTCGTATTTGGGTCACAAAAAGCAAATATGTTTTGAAACTCCATAAGTGGTGCAAAGAATGTCTCCTTGAAATAACATTAAAATGCCAAACATAAAATTCAAAATTTTAACATGACAAATAAATAGAAGCTAAACGTCTTGGTGCAGTCTGACGGGTTTCGAGCCTGTAAGCAAAGAGCTGTGTGATTATTACAAGAATTTTGAAAGTCAGTTTCACTGCCCATGTTTAGAAACTTCAGAAATAAAGGCTGAACCAGGTCATTGTTGAAGGGGAAAACTATCCGCTGTGACAGCTCTGTCTCATGGGAACTTCCCTTTAATATGCTGAAAATTCCATTCCCAGTGTCTCACAAACAACACTGCTGGACATGCCGAGAGGTTTTGTTTCTTTTTACAATGGCTGTCAGGCGAAGGAAAACCTATAGAGGGAATTTTCACACCAGCCCTGTCGAGAAGCACCACTGACCTTTCCGCCAAATTATACTATGCAGACTTTGAGAAAGGGCAAATTGGGGAAGAAAAATAACACCCAACAGTTAAGGTCACTCTGTTTCTTTCCTTATTTACATTCTTGGGGATTTGAAAAATGGCAGCTATAAAAGAAATTGCATTTAAATCTTCCAGGCGAGAAAAATAGAATTATTTAACACTTCCAAAAAACTGTGGATATCCAATTTTTAGGACTCCCTGAACATTGGAGCTCTGCATGATGTATAAGGCAACGTGTGAGTGATTGCAAAACAGCGACAGTGTGTTCAAAGATTTTGCGTGCAACAGTTGCTGCTGCCATATGAGCTCGTGGCATCCTGTGGTTAGTCTGTCTCTCACCAGTTGTTGCCTGAACCTGACACGTCGGTGAGGAGCTGAGTGCTGTCGAACACTTCCCTCAGCGGGCCCTGCAGGATCTCGTTCACGACGCCCTCCTCCATGTCCACCAGGACCGCCTGCCGATTCAAACATGCAAGAATGAAGACAGCACCTATATTTCACTGCTATACGTATATGCTGAGCGCATTCCTTTGACCACTATGGTCATTCCATAACTCCTTTTTGTAACCCGATGAATGCCGAACCCTTCATTACACAGAATTCACGCCTGACTCTAAAATAAGCTGTGAAAAGAATGTACACCTCAATCAGTCTCAAGCATGTTGTTATCGAGTTTAAAGTTGTTCATCATGCTTAATGGTCCAAACCAAAGAGGTTTACTTGAGCAGGGTAAGCTGATGTGGCAGCTTTTTTTTTTTTTTTTTACTTCTTGCCAGAAGGCTTATTTCATGCAAGTGGAAAGACTTTTCACCTCCAACATGTGGACACTGGATCAGAGACATCATATAGCCTGTGTGTATTTGGGAAAATCTGTTATTTTATGAAGGGATAAACACATTCACCGCTACACACCGCTTTTGTAAAAATATAGTAGTAAAAAAGATTGAGTGAATTTAAACAAGTCTCCTTTTTGTTTATTTTTTTCTTTAAAAAAAATATGCAAATCATGCAAATGTAGGTAATCTTAACGGTCAAAGAGGCAGCAGGTTTTGCAGTTTGCAGCTCTCCAGTGACTGCATGGCATGATGAAAAACACCTGGCTTTCACCTGATCTAACAGCTGATTGGTTTAAATAACATTATATTTGATAGAAATATTTCATTCTTTTTAATTTGAGCGATTTGGATTTTTTAACTTTATATACACACACACATATTATAAACTGCATACATTATACTGTTCCAGTCTTTTGTATAATAACATTGAACTAATTTATTTCTTGAAGTAACAACAGAAACATTTGTGTTGTCACATCTATACAGATGTGAAGCTCTGACAGTCTAAATATGTGACGGATCAGTTCTGAAAACTATTGTCTTGTATTTATTTTTTACTGTATTGGGCCATTTATTAATTTATTTTTAATTATTTATGTAGCCTGTAAAGGACAGGTCTGCTCAGATCATTTATATCCAAACTGATAAGGTGCTCATTAACATGAGACTATATGCCATATGGGGGTTTACCCACAAGCAGAGACCACAGATCGAAAGTGTAACATCTTAATGGACTACATGGTCAGAATTAAAACTATCAGAGACTGCACACAAATGGATAGATTGGTCTGACAGCATTTTTTTAAAGTGGGATCTAACAGGACGTGTACTGTCTGCTTGCTGGATGAGGTGCAGTTAATCTCAAATGACCTTATATGGCCAGTTTGGCGGTTGCTGCCGTGTTGTTGCTATTATTTTGTTTATGTGGACTGAGGACTGGGTATTTTGTTTAATCTATATGCATCTTTCGATATGGTAAATTCAAATCTTGTTGCCTGTAAATCTTGTCAACTGCACAGCAGAAGATGAAAAATGTTCTCTCAAGTTTCTTTTTGATGGTTGGTCGAACTTACCCGAGCCTTTAGATGTTGGATTCTCCCACCGACACCACAGGCTCCACCGGCACTTTTCCTAGAAAACCAAATATAAAAAGGACTAAATTTGGACCCCATCTGTCAACCTCTGCATGAACTGACATTGGAATAGAAAGCAGGTCTAATTACCTTGAATCCACATTCCGGAAAAAGCTACTGAGGGCCTCATCGTACAATCCTTTCTGAGCAGGAGAAAAGTGCAGGATATTAGAGGTGTTTTTAGGAGTTGCGGTGGGTGATAAACATGTCAGTTTTTATAAGACACAACAGGACATGACATAAATCTTCCCATAAAGCCTCCCTTCAGGGATAGGTCAGGCTGTTTTTTTTAGTAGTTTTGGCAACAGTTCCCATCTGTCAGACTTCACAGAACCATTGTAGTTGTGTTACCAGGTTTTAGAAATGATGGCAAATGTGGTGTTATTCTGCTAGAAGTGACAGCTAGAATCAGAAGAAATATTACTTAAGTTGTAATAACCTGGAATTATCCTTTAAATCATGCACTGAGGGAGCCAACAACGTTTCCATTTGAATTATTTTACTATTTTTAATCGCACTTCAACTAATCCTGGAAGTCCACAGTGACAGAATCACATACATCACTTTTAAAGACAACATTTACATAGTCACAGTCCTATTGTTCAGCTGTGCAGTGCTTTTAGACAACAGGTTTGTGTTTATGCCCAGCCATTTAGCCATTAAGTCACAAAACCTACAAACTGGTTATGTCAAGACTCAAATATTTTAAATGCCTTTTTAACATTTTATTTTATTTTATTTTTTAAATGTCGTAGTCAAAGCAGCAGTTGTGCCACACACAAGACACAAGGACACCACACTTCTTGCTTGTTCACATAAAAGAAACATAATGCCTGAGGATTTGTTGTTAAAAGTTTGAGTACCGACCAAAAATGTATTTCCGGTTGCATTACTTGAGACTTTTTCTGTTGCAGGATTTGAAACCGTACCTGTATTTCATCAGTTAAAAAAAAAAAAAAAAAGATTTAATATATTTTTTCTCTGCTTTATTTGTTTGCCCAAATAGCTGTTTATCAGATTGAGGCAGAAACAGTATCTGAAGGTTGCAGAATGTTTTGGGGGGGGGGTGGTTATGGCGTTGTTCAGAGACAGGTGAGAATGTCCTTGAATGTGGGGATATAAGTACCCCAGGGGGGTTGCATGTATTCCTTTTTAGTATGATAAGCATAGGGCATAATAGGCAAGGCAGACTTCACTGTGTCACGTTAGTGGAATATGGAAATAGGGTTTGGATTAATTTGCATTTAAAACATTAAGTCTGGAAAATCTTCACTGCTGTTTTCACTTCAATGCCACCAGAATGAAAGGTTTTTGATATAATGTGCAGACTGTGACTGATACCATCCAACATGGAGAGGGTGATTTTGAGATAGAATCAGATGACACGGATGGAAGTGATGAAGAGGCTGATGCAAGAAAACAAACAACCCACCAGGCCACAACAATCTGGGGAAAATACATAATCGAGATTTTTGTGATAAATAATGCAATTTCATTTGCAGTATTTTGTTTTGAAAGTCAAACTTCAGTTTAATATTCACTGTGTAACACAGGGGAAGCTGTGAGGGATCATTACCACATTTGTTTGGTTGGACAATGTAAAACAAATAGAGAAAATCTCTTCTCAACTAGGACCAAAGTTGCAATATTACAAGATTACAAAAAGCTTAGAAAATGTAAAAAAATTGAAAAACTTTTCAATTTCTGCATCTAACTGGCTGAAAATTTGCTAATTATTATGTTTGTTCAGGCTGTAAAGTACTCAGGACCACTATTTGTTTGCCATATTTTACAATAAATTTTATAAGTCATGTTTCAGTTCACCCTGCCTTTGCCCTAAGTCAGCTGGGATAGGCTCCAGCCTCCCCGCGACCCTAGTGAGGATTAAGCGGTGTATAGATAATGGATGGATTTTTCAGTTCTATTCCAACTTAGGATGGGGAAGGGTAAGGACAGCTTAAAGAGCACAGGAGTCAGTAATAACATGACTTAATGGTCGCTACATACCATTGGAGTTTGGAGGGGAAGTTTGTAAAGTGAAAGTCTGCTTCCCCCACTGTCACCTGAACCCAGCCTTATCCCCGAACCAAATCAGTTATTTTATGGGATGCTAACCTGATCCTAGCCTCACCCTAAATCTTTCTGTCTAATCAAACACAACATCAGCAGATGTTATGTTTTAAAGCTGAAAGTACACTGCTCATGGGATTGTGTTTATGTATCTTTTTCACGCAGACATGTTGGTTTATTATAGCAGGAAAATCAATCATATCAGACTTTGTTTGGACAGCACTTTTCATTCATGTAGAATGTAATGCAAAGTGATAAAAAGGGCAAAAGGAAGAAGGGACTAAGGAACTAAGGTAACACCACAATACATAAATACAATAAGGATAAACTATAGAAAGGATAAGTAAAAAAAAAACAAAAAAACAATCTAAATAACAAAATGAGGTAACAATACATATCTGAATTTGGCACAAAAAAGAGCTTCAAACAAATAGACAGATACACAAATTAAATCGATTAAAAGTTAAAAATTTGAAATAATGACTAAAGCCAGACAGGTTTTAAAAGTCTGTGCAGTCTGACTGACAGGGATAGAGACATTATAAAGACTTGGACTTGTGTTTTCCTGCTGTGACAAGTCACAATGTCTTGTTCTCGTGTAACTGCGTGTCTTTGCTGCACTGTGTGTGTGTGTGTGTGTGTGTGTGTGTGTGTGTTTCTGCACTTACTTTATTCACATAGGCGTGTTCTCGCAAAGCAAGATCCCAAAACCTGCAGCCAACCTGGTTCCCACACTGTCCAACTGAAGAACATCAGTTTAAAGTTTCGTGTAAATATTGCTAAGACAAAATTTTCATGCAATAACTGTGAGCTTGATATAAACGGAAGTTGCGACGCTCCACGACCAAACATCCAACATGAAGCTAACCTAGCTTGTGAATGCTAACGTGAAGTAAGTTTGACTCACCTTGAACAACAACTGACTGTGTCATGACAGCAGCGACACACAAACTCTTTAGTGGCGGCGACCTAAACCATTTTAAAAGTTATTATTTGTCCACAGCTGTCCGCTTTAACCGGGTTTTGAGGAGACTTTTGAACGCTTCTTTGAAGTCGCGCCTTGAGCTGTGTTTGGTCGAGCGTCGATGACGTTATTGTCATGGCAACAGCGGGTACGGTGCGCGGTGCGGTTCATACCTCAGTAAAAAGCGCAAGATGCCTCACTGAAACCAAGACAACTTTATTTTGTGAGTTAAAGTACAGGGTCAAAGCACATTTCAAACACTGAGGCAATTCAGTGTGCTTTACAGCATAATACAATCTTGGCAAATGACACAAACTTAAAATTTTAATTAACCTAAATGATTTGCAATTTAAAATTTACAGTTAAAATAGCAAAAAGATGATATAAAATGCATAAATTAAACAATTATTTAAAACTGAATTAGAAATAACTGTGTGGTCAATACTAGGTAGAGCAGGCAGTGTAAAAACAAAAGTTTTGTGGGTGGTGTTGGGGTTTGTCTAGCATCATTTGGAGGGTTATTCCATTTCTATATTGCATGACATCAAAACACTGCTTCTCCATTTTTGTAAAGACATAAAAGATGACAGAAGAGTTTATCATGCCTTTATGTGCTTTGACACAGCAGAGATAACAATAAATGAAAAAATCAGATCCACATGAAAGTAAACACTTACAAGTCAGACAGTATGCCCAAGAGCAGAGGCGTTGTTAGGATCTTGAAAAACTGGGGGCTTCGTCCAGCATACAGATCTTTAGTTTTTAATCTGATAACTGCACCACCAATAGGCGAGTTAAATGTGAGACACTGTGCTCCAGGCAAAATACGGCTCTCCATGAATATAACAATAACAGTGTGCCTTGGAATTGATGTTATTTATATGATTTACGTAGCTATAATAAAATGCAGCCAGGCCAGGGTTGCCATTTTTAGCTATCAGCTGATTGAGATTGGCATATGTTATAGGTTTTTAATGTGCATTTTCATTTTTAGTAAAAATAGTTGTATTTAATTATACATTGGGTTCACTGTGTATTTAAATAGTCCAGGAGACAGGACACGGGCGCCAGTGAGAAGAAAAGGTCCACCCAAAAAGTCCCATAAGACCAAAATACATACCTAATATTAATCAGAATTAACATGCTGCCTATATGCAAAAGACAACACCTAATAGTGTCGTAGCACATAGAAGTGTACATGTGTCACTGTGCTTACAGCCTGTTGCCGTCACTCCTGCTCTTTTTCCTACTTTTAGCTTCTTATTCAACCAATTCCAAAGCAATTTCCCCTCAGGAATCAAAAAGTATTTCTGATTCTGATGGTGCACTGAGCAGTGTTTTGCTTATGCACATATATAGACAATGTTTGAGACGACACCCAGGCCTAACACCACCATGGCCTGCAAACCTCAGTGCATTATTTTCCATTAGATTTGAACTGGCAACTGGTGCGTTTATTTTGTTTCTGTCTTTTCCTTTACACAAATAGACGTTTTCACCATAAATTGATGGAGAAAAGGCACAAATTATTGCATGAAAATTCATCACAATGAAGTAAACACAAAGTGTTTGGTGCTCAAAATTTCCTGTGGGAGTACGTCCAGTCCCCTACTTAATGTGTCCCCGCTCCAATGTTTAAACAAAATCTGTTTCTGACTTTAATCACATTATGTACCCTACAGTAACATGTTAAGTTGTTTTCAAAACTTAACGCTTCACTGCCATAGGAATGAAGCCACTGAAGAATAAATGAATATGCTTGAATACTCACTCATTGATTAATTCAGTCAGTAATAATAAACATGAAATTTACATATCAGTATTGGCAATAGCAAAGAACACTAATAAAAACTAAAGAATCAACAACAGAAACTAACTAAATATATAAATAATTAAATAATGTAAAAAATTGTTATCCCCATTTTCTAATTTTTGGTTGGAAAATTGTTCCAAAACAGGTGTCCAGTAGAGGGCAGCGTTTATTGTATCCATAGCATGTCCTACGGAACTAACAAAAATGAAAAACGGGAGTGAAATAAACCACTTGAATAAGTCGTTTATTAAATTTTGTGTTCTTTCTCGGCCACTTCATAAATTTTTAATAAAACACAGGATCTTTCTTCATTTTTCTAAAATTCTCCAAGTGTAAAGGACCAGAGGAATATTTAGTGAAAAGCCAAGCTTGCATGTAAAACATTTATTTATTATCAGAAATTAAACAGTACAAAATAGAAAGTTTGAACATGAACTTGTACAAAAAAATGTGCCATCAAGATTACAAAGTGGAGTGATAGAGTTTATTGTACTGTAAAATGGAATAATGTCACTGTGTGTGTTTCTTATTGTGAACAGTTAAGAATAAAGAAAGTGTAAATCTTGAAAAGACAGTAAGTTCCACAGGTTGGTTCCATTCAGATTTGTGTATATTTTCCTATAAATGTTTTCTTTCAGGTTAATTTATAAATTTGGACATTTTGGTCTTAATTTTTGGTGTGGGACAAAAGACAAGAATCAACAAATTACAGACAGAAACAAGTATCAGAGAGTGAAATGGATGATGATACTCTAAGTGTGTATGTTTAACAGAAAGACAGTTTCTACTATGTGTTTGGTCAGTGCTGTATTGGGGATGGAGATGACATGAGTGTTATGCTGCCGGACAGCTTCCAATGCTGACAGCTCCGTTGACCAGAACAGCTTTGTTGAAGTTCACTCGATTGTTGATGTCGATGGTCACGTTCCTCATGCAGCCTACGTAGGCCTTCCTGGTGATGATGTTCTCTGGCAGGAAAAGATCTGAAAGGAGAAATAGCGCATCGCATGATAAGAAAGGTGTGACTAAAGCAGAAAATAAAAGATGAGTTGTTGTCGCTGGCTCACCTGGAGCTCCACCGATGAACACTGGTCTCTTGGTGTCTGAGGAGAGAGGGTTCGGAGGACCAACTACATGGCTGATCTCAGAGTCCACAACCAGCTGGACAATGTTGCCGTCTCGAATCACTGGCACCAAACAGGAAAGTGTTTTTATAATGAAAGCAAAGCACTGTGACTCTCTGTTGTGATTATTCATTGTGTTTATCTGATTTTGATAAAGTTGAGTATTCAGATACTTAATGCAAGAAAAGCAGCAACTCCAAGTATCAAATAAAATACTATATTACTTGCAGATTAACTCCTAATCCAGGATTATAGATGATGATTAGTTCATTAAAAAACCAACTGGTAATTTGGGCAGGTGATTGCATTCAGTTTGTTAGTAAAAAGACCAAAATGGATAGCCCGTTAAACTGCTTTACTCCCTGTCCATCCCATCGTTCATTTATGTACATGGAACAACAGCAACAGCTTCATTAATTCAGTTGTCCCTGACATGCAGACAGGATTGATCAGGATCTAACGGCAAATTATATTTTCTTCACCTCAGGCTGGTGAGCTGTTTAATCTACACTTAAATTTGTTGGTTTACATGGTGGGCATCCTGAAATTCAATCCTGAGCTTCATGCCAGCTGTTAGCATCTTACTGTTTATAGGAGTGATCTGTTCATTCAAGTCTACTAAAGTGTTCCAATGCTAAGCTAACTAACCTAGGCTAGTCTAGTTAACTTTTAGCACAACTAGTTTCTGCGTTTTTGTCCGTTATGATTAGATTCAGTTGTTCAGTTATTGTGTGATACAACAAAACTAAATTATTAAGATGTTGGAGTATCAACTGTTAATGATTTATCAAACACAAGACTAACAATAATAACAACAATAACCCTTGTACAAGCATGTATAGTGATAATAAAGTATCTTGAATCTTGAATAAGGAACAAATTGGTAGTTTGAGCCATTGCCATCTCAACAGCGAGCTAGCTGTGGCTACTGCACAGACTTTTTTAATTAATTTAATTAATTAACAGCTATATGAAATCATGTTTATCTGAAAAGGTCGTGATTTATCTGTTTAGGACAGCAAGAGTCCATTTAGCAGTATAACCTGTTTAGACTGACACCAAATACTGACTCTAATAGCAATATCAGAGCTGAATTATAACTCCAAACTGTGCTTTTAAAGCTTTTCTGCTGGACATATCCACAGTCCACTGTTTTCAAATGTGTACCCATCATTGCTTTGAAGGCTTTTGAGGGCTGATAATGAAATTCTCACCTGTAATTTTGTGCCAGGTGCCATCACAAATACCCTGCTTTGGTGACACCTTTGTGAGGAACTCATTAGTCCCATCATTTACCAGAACAACCACCTGAAAAGAACACAGCCATATATGACACATTTGTTTGAAGAGATCTATGCCTTTGAAATTTGACTCAAACTGAATGAGATTATTTCATCTGGACATCTGCGCTGAAGACGTACCGCTCCATGATGAATGTACAGAGTAAAGTAGCCGTCTGCTGTGCGCACATGTAGTAGCACCGCAGACGCCACTCGGGGGCGCACCTCCATCGCCAGCTCAAACTTCAGCCCCACAGAAAATGATTCATCTGAAGGTGGAGGAAGCAGAGACAGTGTGATGAAGTGACTTGTGGGTACTTTATCTATTCTGTCCTTTATCTTTATGCCGCATTAATCAGTTTCTCTCTGGTGCGTGCACATGCAAAATCCCTACACTCATCCAACAGCTGCAGCTCAGTTCCCTCATTTGTTGGTTCCTTCACCTCCCCCCCTCACCCTCTCCTATCCCCCCCCTCAACACCGACACAGTCTCGGCACTGCTGCACTGAGGGTATCGTGTTGCCTCACCCAGCCGCATTCTCTCCATGCACACGGGATGGTGAAAGACCGAAGGGGCTTGTGAGCTAATGAGCCGTGTAAATTAACAGATGCTCAGTTTGCAAACAGTTGCAGGTCCTGCCAAAATGTATGTGTTGCCACTTTGTGGGAGGAAGACCGCACAAAATCAACACTTAGCAATGGTCAGTTCCCAAATTTATGTTTGACGCTGGAGGTTAAAACATGTTTGAAACTTATAGAAACGTACCCAAGACCACATATCCTCCTTCCTCTGAGAAGTATGTTCCCGCCTCAGAGTGTCCCTCAAAGCACGGAGTGACTCCGTAAGTCTCCGACACGGAGGGCAGCCAGTGTCCGTCAAGC